ATTGAAATAGTTTCAGATATTACATTATTTCTCATTTTATATTGCAATTGCATGCTTCCCAATGTGAATGGAAAATTGCATAGCTCAAATGCCGCCTTGGCTGTGCTGCGAGGACTTTTTGCTAGGGCCAGTTTGTAGGCTTGCTGACTTGGCTTAATATGTCCGCTTTTATATTGACAATAGCGTTTAAAATGTTGGCATCTGATTGACTTTGCATCTGCATGTCTGGTGCTTCTTTAATAATGATTGATATATGCTTCATATGTGGTCTAAAATAATATTTTTAGTATTAGTTAAAGAATTAGCAATATATAAAAATATTATATTTTATACATATATTAAATATTATTATATATATAACCATACACATTATTTTTTTCAATGTTTTAATTGTTATAAATTTAAATTTAAATTCTAAACGAATATAAATTTAATAAAATAATATAAACTAATAATTATAGTATATATATATACTAATAATATAGTATAATTATAGTATCTATTCATCTTATTTATTTATGTGATTTATTAAATTATCATTATCATTTTAAATTTGTTCAATGTATTCTTATAGATAAATATAAAATAAATAATATATAATTTTATAAAATAAATAATATATAATTTTATATATTCAATAATATATAATAATATATAATTTTAATAAATAATATTAATTTTAAAATAAAGTATCTTTAATAGTTTTTAAATGAAAAGATAAAACCTAAAGTTCAGATTAATTGGTTACCGCTTAGTCCACTGCGCTAAATATTTATTATTCATAAAAATACCAAAAATTTAATCATTGACTCTCATCTACACTTCAGCTCTCAATCCCACAGAAAGGGTATATTTAAGTGCGGCACATGACATAATATTGTCATTTTTATATTTCTTATTTTTATTTTATTCTATTTTATTTTGTTTTATTTTATATTTTAATTTCTTCTATTTTTATGTGGCTTGTACTTGGCTTTTACATGCACAGCCATCTACAGTCGTGTGTGTGTGTGTGTGTGTTTGCTTCTTCTTTTTTAGCCACTGTGGAGCTGGTGGTGCCGAGTGGTGGTGCTACCTGGCTTAGCATTTTGCGATGCATAATTAATCTGTGTGGCCGGGATGCGAACGCCGCCAGTTTTGAATGCCCGCCCCCAGTTCTAGGGAGCGTGCTGCCAGCAGCAGCCACCTTGGCACTTCAATAAAATGTTCTTTATTTCATTTTTAGTGGGGCTTTTGAATGATGTTTTCATGTATCTGATGTAACTTTTGGGCTTTGCCAGCGGCCGCTGTGGGGGACCATATAAAAGTGCAAAATTGTGACAGGCACGCTTGAGTGCCACGCCCCTGCTTGCAGTAGTTGACTGGGTATTGTTTGTGAAGCAACTTGACGCAGCAGCAACAGCGCCTTTTCTACTCCCCCTCCTTCAGGCCTGAGGGCGTTCAAATGGGGGTAATGACTTATACCTGTTGGCAGGTGGGCCGGCCAGGATGGCAGAAGGCCGAGTTGACTGCACACTCAAGTGTTAAGCGCTGAATTTTCGGCTGAGCTGGCCGAGCATCTTACGGCGGCATAGAGAGCATAACAGATGCGCCTCATTATGAACCCTTTTGGCCAAGTCGCTGAGCAGCCGCTTAGCCATGCATGGGCGGACGCCTTGGCCATTGTTGCGTGGCCTTTTTAATTGGCCAGCTCCGCCAACGCCACCGAAAATTCGCATTTAATTATGTGCAAGACAAAACAAAAATGGAAAGAAATAAAACGCATTACATTTTTAATTTCAAGGAACTGCGAGAAAAAAACTGCTTAATTTTCGAGAGTGTTTGCTTAGATTATTTCATTAAATTGAGCGGGCGACAAAAGGCGGGTCGAGCAGCCGTCAGAGCTTGGCCTTTGTGCCGGAACAATGCCAAAAGCAAAGGCAAACAAAAGTGTTGAAGCTAACTTGGCCCAGACTCCTAGACGTCTGCCATAAACGCGCAGCAGCCTCCGCTGTCGTTGCCACTGCTGCTTGGCCAGCTACTCTGTCGCCTTTGCCGGGCGTAGTGGGAACGTGCACTTAATTAAAGATAAGAATTAACTGCTGATTAGTAGTTCTTCTTTACACTTGACACTCTGTTCGGCCCGCAGGGCCAACAGTCAGCACGAGTCTGGCCTGCTAGTCCAAGCACGTAGCCAAGTTGAGACCAAGGCAGCGGCACGACCTAAGACTCCGCCCCCCCCAAAGCCGTGCGCTGTGCTGTGTTAACGAGTTTTTATTTTTGTTTCAATGCTGCCCGAAAACTTTGTGCTTAATGTACCCAAATGATTTATGCACCACACAAACACGCACGCCTCCCACACACACACACACATGTGATGCCACCCATAGTTCATATGCGTTAATTGATGTGGCCAGTGCCTAGCTAGGCCGCTGCCTATTACATAATTTAAAATGTCTACGTGTTAATCATAGCATTTAATGCAGGAGCTGGCCACGTACACACACAGCGATACAGAGAGAGATACAGACACAGACACAGACACAGATGCAGCCACAGATAGAATCAAAGACTTTGCTGGAGACTGGGCACAGACAGCCATAAATATCGAATTGCTCGCTGGGCACGTTCGTCTTGGGGCCAGGGCCAAGAAGTTGGCACTGGTACTGGCACTCAGCTTAAATGGCTCATTTTCCAGTCATTAAATTTTGGTCGGGCCGCTGACCAATTTGGGGGCGCCATAAGAGCTTATAAAAATGCGCTATGTATTTGGCCAAAAACTACAATATGTAGTCAAGATTCACAGCTTATTATTGAGTCTCTGGCGGCTTGAAATATGTTGACAATGGCGCCAGCAACAAAGCTGTCACCAGTCGCCTAAGCCCCCTGCCACACCCACAATCGCAGCCGACTTGCTTTAAGCTGGTTTTTTTTTCTCAGCTTCAACCCCTCGCGGCATTTGAGTTTTTGATTTGCTTTGCGCTTTTTTGCTTCAGTTTTTTTCGTGCACATCAGCAAAACTTTAGCAATAGTTTTTTTTTACATCGAATACCCTGTAAGAGTGGGATATTTTGTTCCTTTTATGAATCCCAGGTGTAGTTGTTACGCATTAAGCATATGGGAAATGACTTTGGCAACATAAGCAACAAAGTAAACTGACAAACTTCACTTGGCCAAAAGCTTAGCTCTTTTCATGTCATTTATAAATGAATGAATTTTATTATATTGAATGTATGAATGAATGAATTCTATTATATTTTTTATAACTCTAATAGATTCATAATTACAGATTTTTTAGCACAGCTTAAAAACTTATGTTAAAATCCTAAGAAGTTTTTTTGCATAATTTTTATATTCTACTCAGCAAAAGCAACTGTGCTTTGCTTTGTCTTTCTTTTCCGATTCTTATTTGTGTGATTGTGGCATTTAGCCTGAATTATATCAAATTCAAGGTGAGTTGCTGGCTAAAATCATTAGGTAAAAGTGATGTGAACAATGTCTTGAGACTTTTAAGTCTTCTACTGAGGCGAAGTCTTCTGGCAAGCATGTTAGTTATGTATAGCTATGCTGCTTTGCCTATTATGTCTCTGGCCAAGATTCTTTGATAGTTCTGAGCTTCTTAAGCGCCACTCACCACCGCTGACTCGTCTGGGGAAGGTGACAGAACTAACTAGAAATACTAACTAGAAATTTGCTTATTAATGAAAGTATTCTTTTTTCGAATAATTTCATAAAAACTTATGTTAATAATTCCACTATTCAATATATATTTAGACATACAAATTATATGACATTGAAGAGATGCAAGTTGTGATATGATAATTATAGAATTTATTGCAGTGTAAAATTCTGATGACATGGAAATGAGGAAAGTTGATAGAAGATATATACTATGTATATATACTATATATGTTATACTATATATACTGTATAGTTAAAATATTAAATTAATAAAATAGTTAATCAGTTCTTTCCAGGGTATCTGCTAGTCACTACTAGTTAGTTCACTTATTTCACTCTTACTTTTGCTACTGGCTTTTCCATTTTGATATTTTTCTTGTTGCTTTTCCATTTCCGGACACGGGGCAAGGGCGAGAACGAGGGCGACAAATCAAAGCGTAACAAAGGGCAACGACGCGGCGGCAAGTTGCAATGCAGAAATTTGACAATTTATTATGTGCCCTTCGACTTGCCGCTAGCTGCTGCGGAAATGTTAAATATTTGTTATTGCAGTCTAATGTTTTCCTGTTGATCTAAGACAAAAATCGTTGCTGCCAGTGAAAACTATTAGCCGACTTCATAAATCTTCAAGCCATATGAAAAAGCCACACACACACACACACACACACACACACACAGAGACATGCACACTCACACAGAGCGCAACCACAACAGCTTCGTTGGCTTGCCACACCCACTACTTTGGCAGTGGCAACCGCAACATGGGCCGCACGCACGCCCAGACATGTCACAATTATGACAATTTCTGATGCATAACGTTGCATAGCGCTTTTAATGCAATAAACCGGCGGCTGCAGCAGCGTCATTAACACTGACAGCCAGGCCCTGGGGCTGGGCGGAAGATGGCTGGCGGCAGGTGTGAGGGCGGCTGCTTTTGTCGTGCACTAATTGTCTGGCTGTGGCCAAAATGTGCAGCGCATGCAATGCTCCAATTCAGGTGTGTGTCAGTCGGTCGCCCCGCACTTGCCGCAAAACACTTTGCAGGCAATTGTCAGTTTGCAAGTGCTGAAGGCAGGTGTGGACTGGTGCAGGTGGTTGCTCGCACTTAACAGCTGACAATGACAGGCGTTGCCAATGTTTTGCCATTAAGTAACTGAGCAAAACGCTCCAGCTGCAGCTTGCCTACGCAACTCTGTCACCTGCGGTTGCTTTACGTATTTGACTTTGACTTTCGAGCAGATCAGTTTCTGATGGGCTGGCAGCCAGCTCCGTGCGCGTGGCTTACGGAAAACAATTAGCAATAATTTTGCCAAATCAAACATCAAATGTCCTTTGGGAATATGCAATATCAGCAGCTGGCAGCGGAGCCGCAGCAGCAGCAACAACAACATCCGCTGTTGTCAGCCATTTCCGGAAATAATTATGCGTAAGCAAAATGACAGCGCGAAATTTATGCGGCGGTCGCTGTGACACAACAAAAGCAAATGATGTCCGCCTTACCTGGCCTACTCATTGCACGTGCGTGGATGTGTGTGTGTGTGTGTGTGTTTGTGTTTGTGTGCACTGTTTGTTTATGCTGCCTCGCAATTTGTTGCACTTACCCATACTCAGGGAGTGATTTGAATTCTTGCAGTGATACACAGCGTGCCCATTACCCCTGGCAGCACCAGCAGCAACTCTATCAGAATCCCTATCTGCATTATGGACGACCATTGCTGGGCGCTGCGAGCAACCACAACGGCGCTTATGCCAGCGCAGCCAGCGGCCACTCGGGCTATGGGTAAGTAATCCAAGTACCGCATACCTAAGCCCCCCTCGCTGCGTCGACCGCCGCTAATGCAACTTTATATTAACAGCATGGAGCCGTCGGTGGAGTATGAGGTGCAGCATACGCCACCCTCTGGCAGCTATTCCTCGTACCATCCGAGCGGAGGCAGTGCACCCGCGCATCCGCCACAGTTGCAGCCGCCACATCCGCCTCAATATCATGCGCCCAAATCACCGCCCACAACGCCACCCACAAAGAAGAAAAAGAGCGGCAGCTCTGTGATGTCGGCGCTGACGCTGCTCTCGTTCTTCTTTTTCGTGAATATGCTGCAGAGCTGCATCAAGGAGCATATCTCGGATATCAACCCCACCGTGATGGTGCTCACATCGGTCGGCAATCGCAATCGCTTCAATAAATTAGCTGAAATGAACTCACGCGAACAAACCTCATCGCCAGCATCCACAACGGCATCAGAGTCGGCGTCATCTTGGCAGCAGCAGCAACAGCAACCGGCATTGGTCCCAGCATCCAGTTCCGCCGTGTTGCCAGTCATTGTTACGCCGGCTGTGACGCTGCATACGCCATATAGCAGTGGTCTGGTGACTAATAAGCCAGCTTCGCATACCACTTCGTATCAGCAATCGCATCAACAACAACATTATCATCAGCAGCATCAGTTTCACGATGATGCTGATTATAATAACGGACATCGCACGCCCTCATCCGCCGCTGATTTCTATCCTAATCGCACACACATTGACCAGTCGCTGCGACCCGACTCCAACTCCAACGCCAACTCCTATTCGAATTCCAACTCTGATTTGTACTCGGACTCCGACTTTGACTATTATCAGCATCACTATTATCCAGAGAGGGAGCGACATCGGCATCATTACATGGACTATGCTTGGTCCAATGGCAACGGGCACTCGCGTCCTCATCCGCATCCGCATCCGCATCCGCAGCCACATCCGCAGCCGCAGCCGCATCCGCAGTCGTATTCGCATGCAGCTGGCAACAAACGTTACTCATCTTCAGCTTCGTTGGGCGCTCAGTCGGGCGTGAGCTCTTACTCGGATAATGCGCGCTACAGGCACACCAATGATGCTGCCGACGACGATGATTATGATCAACAGCGCCATCATAATGAAAATGCTAATGCTGACCGAAGTCCACAGCGACGCGCCAGCGATTCTTTCTACACGCGCAGTAATTGAAAAAGCGACAAAACAAAAAAAAAAAGAATTTTAATTCATTGATATTTGAAGCGGTCTAAAATGAATTTTCGTAATTGTGAAATAAAAGCTCGTTAATTTTGTCGAATACACTTTTATGCAAATAAATTTGTTGCGCATTAAGCTTCAATCCTTATCTAATTAGTGGGCCTGTAAGACAGTTTATACATTTTAAATCTTGACTATTTATGTTTATTATTATTCGATTTTATTCTACAGTATTTCAGGCTCATCAGATTCCTCTGCAGTCTCATCTTTTCAGCCTTCGTCTGTTGTTATAGGTAGCCTGATTGGAGGCGAGCTGCTTTGCACGCGCTGTCAGTAGCTGTATGCCCATTGAGCTATGAGAGTATTGATATATAAATACCTATATATAAATACCTATTTAGCACTGAGTTTCTCACAAGGCAAGCAAATTGTAATCGTATTTATTTCACAGAGCGCCAAAAAGTATGCAAAAAAAATTTATTTGCTTCTTTTTTAAAAATTGTTTATTGTTTAGTTTTAATTTATTCATTTAATTGCAGCTTATTGTCTTAGACTCTATATTCTATATTTATATATTTAGCTCCAAACCTTATCTACTGCCAGTATGTGAAATTTATGTTTAACAACTGCGAAATGTGATCTAGAATGTTGCTTAAATAAGGCAACTATTTGCTTGAAATATTTTATACAATTTTATAATGTTCTTTAAATATCGCTAGGAACACAGAAGTTCAAAGAACTAGAGCGAGCTTAGAGTGTGCTAAAGGAAAATGAAAATTTTATATTTCTCTACAAGTGTTTTTATCTAGTAAGTAATTGAAATTTTTATTTATTTATTTTATTTTAGTTATATTTAAAATGCCACAAAGAAATTTAACTATTTTTTAAATATTTTCCAACTGTAGATATCCAATTAAGTATATTAAAATAAAGTATCAGCGACTCGACTCTCTCGACCTGCAACAGTTTGTTAAATATTTAAAATATTTCTAACTGCAACATTCTACACTTGGAACATTTCTACATTTTGTTGTTGCTCTAATTAAAATGAAGCAAAGTAAGTCGAAAAAGAAGCGCAAAACAATGCAATGTTAAAGACGTAATGAAAATAAATGCTAATTTGTTGCGCAACAAATTAAATGTGGCGAGCTCTGTGCACTGCGAGCTAAGACTTTATTTTATTGCCTGCCACAACTAAGTTGCCACAGCCACCGCCATCGCCGCAGCCTGCGCCACAGCCAGAGACACAGACAGCGTTTCACCTTTCGCCTTGCAGCTTTTCTAATGCACGAGCTGTTGCACTTACAGCGTTTGCTTATTTCTTTATTTATGGCATTTCAGTTCGCGAATGGCAATATAATTATTTCTAATGAGATCAGGAAAGAGGACATGAACACTTTAATTAACACATTTCGCGCACTTTAAAATGCAGCACACACACAACACACAACAGACACGCACGTACACACACACACACGCACACACACGTGCACACAAACAATGCTATCAATTTCAACAACTTTGATTAAACGTCATTTACAGTTGCCACAAGCGGCGGCAGCTGAGATTTGGAGTTGAGTGCTGCAGCACGCAATTGCCGTAGATGTTGGTGAGTCGTTTGGCTGTTGTTGCCATTGTTGTTGTTGCTGCTGCTGCTTCATTTGCAATTAAATGCATGATAAAAAGCCATTGCAGCTGCAACTCCAACTGCAGCTGCATTTCGGCATCGACTGCACTCGCCTCGCCACTCAAAAGCGTAATTTAAAATTCTCTTGGCTGCCATTTGGAGCGTGGACCAGCCCAACGACGACCCACCAGCTTGCCTTTCTTTCGGCACTGATATGCCTGTTGGAAGGCTGACGCTGGCGCTGGCGCTGGTGCTGCCGACACGCGCCATGGCTGCTGCCCGAGTCCTTACCGCTGCGGTTGCACACGGTGCGTATGAGTTATGCCACGACTGCGTGGCAGCCAGCATAAAATGAAGTTAATATAAATTGTACTTTAAAGCGCAGCCCATTCGCATACGTGTGCGTCTTACGCCCATATATTTGAATAAATTTATGACTTTAAGTGCAAACTGGCAGCTAATGCGTGATTTTTGGACTCTTAACGAGGTCAACGGCATCAGCGCAGACCCGACTGCCTGGGAATAACTCAATTAGCTGCCATGTATTTTCATATAAATAAAGTCTTAGTATTTTAATGGATCGTTATGAATAGCTCAAGCTTATGGACTACCGACCTGACAGGTAATTAGCAGCTTTAGCAACTTGCTGATGGCTTTGACTAAGCCACTTATGCAACTTATCTAACGAGACTTACATGAATAGTCACATAAAACTGTCTTCAAGTGGCACGCAAAATATTTCATTTTGTTGCTTGTCGATGCAAAACTGCGTGAAGAGCGCAATGCTTCATTTATTTAAAACCAAATTCGTTTTCACAATTTGGCATTTTTGTGCTAAATTCTTATATAGGAGTTAAGCTGCATTCAAAATAGTAGGCACTTAAGACTTAAGGGCTAATAGAGGAACATCCAAACAACTCAATTGATCACAACCCAATGTGCTCTCATCATTTCATTAACTTTTGAGAGCCACTTGTTAAACAGAAGAAGCATTATATCAGTTGGCCAAAAGAGCAGGGTTTGTACACTGGCTCTACGATGTGCACATTTAGATATAGCTTTAAATGAAATTACAGACAGTCTTACAGGCTTTACCTAAAACGAACTGCCACTGTATACAGTGGAAGAACAGATTGGAAGGCACAGCAATAGTGATGGGCTTGATAAGACACCGCTGTTTGCTCGCACGAAGCTATTCCCTTGCGGCGATTGAAAAGAAAAGTATTTGCCAGTTCATACGAGAATATTGCAATCTTCACTCTGTTATTGTTCAATTGTTTTACTGTTTTAAGTACTCTTTCTATGTGCAAGAGGCTTGGCTTGGTATGTATCTTGCACTGTTAAGCTACTACATTTACATTGTATGGACTCAATGCTTAATAAACAAGTAAGCCAACCGGAAAAAAAATAAGTATCTTTATGTAAGATTTCCCCAAGACTCTCTAATAACTCATATACACAGAGAGGCTTACAAACAGGGGTAGATAGACTCGCCTATTGCTCCTCATAAAGTATTCATAATCAAGAAGTATATCTAGGCAAGAATTTTTATAATTAATGAGGATCAACAGCTGAGTCCTTATAGACCTATACGTCTCTCTGTAGATAAGTCTAGGCTGTATATAAGAGATGTCTGTATAAGCATTGGCTAACATAGCGTATACTTATTCTTGATTATGTGTACTTTGTGGCCTCTGTTGCGCCCTATTCAGCATGTTACACATATTCCAACAATATACGAATTTTCATTTCATAATATAGCTAGTTTTCACAGCTGATCAAAATTAAAGAGCTGTCTAAATGTATTTAAATATCTAATGTATTTAAATGTTTCGCTTGGCAATTATAATTTGCTGCAGTCGCCGTTCCATTTGTGCTCCTATACAAGCATCTCTTATATTGTGCTGCAATTCAGAGTAAATAAACATCGTTTTCAATTGCTGAACGATTTATTAACTATCTTATTAACTAATTGGACAGTTTAAGCCATGTATATCCGAGTGCTGGCCATGTCAAATGTGGCGACTTGTACGCTGCCACACTTTAATGCGCTTTACACAGGCAATAAATTGTACTTGAAACACGCATAAATTCATAGTGAGAAGAGTTGGATGTTGAAACATAACAATGAAATGCATTTTTATTTTGTTGTTGTTGTTGTTGTTGTTAGTGTTGTTGCTTGTACTTCATTAAAAAATAATTAAAAATTGTAATCGACGTACAATTTTTGCCTGCCTTTGCGCAATTATTTATGTCCGACATAAAGCACAAAATTAAATGGCAATAATTTGCTCGTGTCAACTATAAGTGTGCAGTAGATAAATTAATAGCGAACAAGTAAATAAATTTATAAAAAATACATAAGCATATATATTTAAATTGAAAAGTTAAAGTGTGTGTGTGTGTGTGGGAACAGGATAAAGAGAAAGCGCGTGGAATCCTTTGTGCTATGTGACAGCTGGCAAAAACCGAGTTTCTCAAAAAGATATAAGAACTGCACAGACAACAACAACAACTGGAACAACACAAAGCATAAAACAAACAACCAACAACAAACAACTGTCTCGATTTACGCTCAACGCCTTGGCTACAGTTTTATATGGTAAACAATTACGGTAAGTAATTTATTTCTGCTCAACTGAATTAGAAATCTCTTAGCACTAAGCCAATGGCAAAGCATTCGCAGAGACACACAGGGCCTGTCTTGCCAGTGTGTGCGTGTCTGTTTATGAAGATACTGTAAGATATGCAGGGAAATTAATAGTACTACATTTTTTACAACACGTTGCGTCTCGTCTACGGGCGCTGCTAGTGCGATAATTCATTGCCTGCTGCTTCTGCGTTTTCTGCCTGCCACGCACTTCCTGCCAGACAGCCAGCTATCCCCTGACCAGCTACTGTCTAACTACAACCCACCAACTCGCTCTCTCTCGCACCACTCACGTTCTGCTCCAGCTATAATCGGCTTAGTCTGCGCTTACGGTTTGCTTTTGGTATTGCCTGCGCATTTGTATGTGCGGCAAATAGTTGCCCCCTCTCTCCCTCTCTCTATGTCTGCCTCTGCTGCTTTCACTCCTCGAACCCTTTCTTCGTTTGGTTGCCCCAAAGGTGTTAAGTTGTTATTGCATTTTATTTCATTTAGCTGTGAGCCTTTTATGCGCTTTCAAAGGCGAAGACTTTTATGACTGCCTTCAGTTATACACGAATAAAAGTTCATACAGTAGCACTGGATGCAAAATAAGATAGATATGTCAATTCTTTATTTCGTATAATTTAAAATTGATCTGAGTAGTTGAATTCATATAATCTCAAAAGTAAATCAATGCAAAGCGAAGTTTTCTCATATTAATATGTGAATCCAATAGAAGCAGACTAACTAATAATATATAATATATAAGCGAATATACAGATTTATAAATATATAAGTATGCAAGAGTATGCACAGATCTATGGACTACAGAGAAATGGAATATGTTTGCCTATTTGTGAAAATCATTCAAGAGCATCAATCATCTACATACATCTACTACATTATCTGTTACTAGCTGGATGTCATTCTATTTCATGCATTTATATATTCAAAAATATAAGTTAAATATGAAAAATCAATATACGTCGGGCACGTGCATGATTAAAATAATAAATTTAAAGCAGACAAGCCAGATGGATGTCGACTCATCTCGTCGTCCTGTTTCGGAATACTTTTAATTCGTCCACACCTCCTTCGGCTATATTATAAAAACATTTCCATCAAATCAGTATACCCTCTTCATACATTCACACTCGGAACCGAATATAAAATGCATATTAAATGCATCGGCAAAGCACGCATTCGAAACGATTAAAATGAATTTATTTTAATTCTTTTAAGTGCATAAATAGTTCCGCAAGTGCTTAAGCGTTTGACACTATCTCAGATATCCACTGACATTTGATGGTGTCAAGAGGTTGTCGCGATTGTGAAACTGCAATAAGGAATTTGTCTATTATAATAAGAACAATTTTCCACTAAAAAGAGTTTTGCCTTGGCAAAGAAAGAGCTCGCTCAGTTAGTATTTTATTCTTGCCTAACAATGTTGTGCTTATCATCGTATAATCGTGTTCTGCTTGTAGTTCTGTGTCTCTTGATGCCGGAGCAGATCCACGCACTGCTCTCGATGCTGAAGCCTGGAAACTCTTTCCTAAGCAATCTGGTTAAGAGAGTTCACAAAGAAAGGCCCATCGAGACACTGTTGGCAATAAAAAGTCCAACGGATGAGAATTGTTTCTTAAATGAGTTTAATCCAATTGGAATCCCTACCGTACGCCTGGACGCCTCAACCAAGCTGAACGTTATGGAGCTCTACAATAGCGAGGCACTTGCTCTGCTGTGTATGTCCGAAGTCGCGGACTCATTAGTGCTAGCTACACTGGCCGAGAATCTTGATGGAATGCGAGAGTCGCGAATTGTAGTAATACTACACAGCTTGGATCTAAAGGATTTAAAGGAGCTACTGCGCTTAATCGGCAAGCAGGCAGAGAGGAATGTCTTTGTCAATCTAATCGTCATCAACTGTATCTCATCTTCTACTGAGTCGACTGTCTATCGCATGAAGCCTTTTCCGAGTCCAACCTTTGTTCGTATTACAAATATCAGTGCTGAACAAGTTTTTCCCAAGGTGTGGAATAATTTCAACGGAAAATCGGCTGTTATATCACCTGATCTGTTTCCACCGCGCAGCCTCTTGTCGAGAGACCGATTCACAGGAGAGCTAAAGCTATTTGGTTCCACGGACATAATGTTGAAAGAGTTTGCCGATAAATACAACGTACAGCTGCATCTATTTCGACCTTTAAGCGAGTTGGCTGAGATTGATAAATTGGATACCTACACCATTCCACAGCATGAAGTTGATATGCCCACTCGACCCATAGTACTTACCATGGAAAAACTAAAAAAATTCGAATTGTCTCTTGATGCGAGATATACACAATTTTTTATTGTAGTTCCCTGTAGCCAGGAAATAAGCATAGGCGATGTGTACTCAGGCTTGAGAACCAACTCCATTATCCTATTGGGCTCATATTTTATGTTTGCAATTGTTGAAACTTTTGTCATATTCGCTGCGAACTGGATTTACCAGCGCAGACCCAGTACTCAAGAGTGGAGCTTAGTCTTGAACCTGCGGGCATTTGCTGGAGTCTTGGGACTTCCGATGTATCTGAGGAGATACAGAACCAGCATTTCGCTGCAGCAAATCGTAATGGTTATGTGCATTTTCAGCTTGGTTTTCACCTGCTTTTTCAATTCGAACCTCAGTACGCTGCTGACAAAGCATCCGCGGAACACGCAAATCCAAAACTTTGAGGAGCTGCGAGATAGCGGTCTGGAGGTCATTTTAGACATAACTTTCAAATCTGTGTTCGAAATTGCTGCTAAAGATGTTGGACTAGATAAGCTAGTTCCCAATGCCAAGTTTGTCACAATGAAGAAATATTATGCTATGCACTTCAATCCTACAAATATATCTGGGAATTCCTGGACCACTATCAAAAGTCTCATAGACGCAAGATACTTTGTAATACCAATGCCATGAATCTAACGGGCAATCTACTGATCGGCTACATGTTAAAGAAGAACTTTGTTTACCGAGAGGCCTTGAGCGACTATTTAGCTAGAACACGCAGCTACGGCTTCGACAAGCACTGGAACCTAAAGGGCGGGCAGAAAATGATAGAGATGCTGGTGCCGCTCTTGGATCAAAGACTTCCAGCTAACAATCAGGAATTCGAAGCCTTGAGCTTTGAGGACTTGGAATGGTTATGGAAATTGCTAGTAGTATGCTATAGCCTGGCAAGTTTGGTTCTTATTGGAGAAGTTTGTGTGGCCAGATGGCAGACTAAACGAGCTAGAGAAGCACATGTTCTAGAGGTGTAAAGTGTAATCAAAAATATGCCTAATAAAATTATTTCTCAATAATGATTTTGATGAATGTAAAACTTGCACTCAAAATATATAAATATATTTACTCAAATGCCTTACATTCAATGAATTATTATGGGTCACAAATTTAATAACTTGGGATTGAGAAAGATTTCTTGAACATGAGTTTGCTGCTGTCATTTATTTAAATTAGAAATAAGAAATGATTTGATTGCTTGACTTCAATCTGAAGAAGATATCTTAAAGCCAGGCGCCCTGGACAGCCTAGGCAATGCACTTCTGGGCTCTGCATCATTTGTCATAGTTATAGATATAGATTTAAATGTGTCAACGCTGCATACAATGCGCTAGCTGCCACAGTTGTGCCCAGCCTGTTGGCCCCTGCCCCTGCCGCATCGGTGGCATCTGCTGCTGCTGCAGCTGCTTGAAAAGCCATAACTCATGGACAAAGCACTCGAGTGTTGGCTTCGCATTGGTCACATAACTGTCACTGCATGTGGCATGAATGTGTTGCAATTGTGTTGAAATTGGGCCGCAAATAAACACGTCACAAACGGCTGGCATTGCAATCAAGTGTAGCCGCCTGCAAGTATGCAACATTCACGATTCAATTACAAGCAACACACACAAACACAAAAAACGTATCGCCACACAAAATATCTATTAATGCTCCGTATGTATATATAGAGCTGGGGGTCTTAAGCTTGCTACAAATATTCAATGTGTGCACACAATTCAATGCCAAATGGGATTTTGGGCTAACAGCAAGAGCAACAACAACAACAACGACAACTGGAGAAAATCGACTAAACTTTATGTGGATGTTAGGAAAAGTGCTGGAAAACAGCAGCCAAGCAGCAGCCACTGCCAACACACGGAAGTGAAAACGTTTTACACTCCAATTGCTCTATCTATGTTGGACCAGTGCCTCTTACCACACACACACACACACACACACATGCACACCCTGCCACACTGCCACAATTTTTGTAAAAAGTTTACGTTGCGACAGGCGGCACATAAAATAGTTTTAAATAAGAAAAGCGAAGGCAAATAAACAATTCTATTTTTCTTGCTGGCCAGCGCTGTGGCGCACGGGGCGCGTTGCTCAACATTTTTATTTTAGGGCGTGGCAAGGACAGTGTGTGTGTGTGTGCAATAAATGTAAAGCTGCTGGGCGCATGAAACTGAAAATTTCCTGTAGCATACTTTGCGGCTACAGCCGCATGCATTGGCACACTAACACGCAGTGCATAGTCTGTCTGTGTGTGTGTGTGTGTGACGCGGTTTCCGTTTAGTTGGCCGTGTGAACTGCTTACACACACACAGGAAGCCGCTTTCAAAGGCATTTAAGTCCATTTAAAGCTTTTATTATATGAATATATATATTTATATATATATATACTATATGTTCCTAGCGGCTGCTGACATTGTAACTCACACACACACACACATACAGAGAGCAACTCACGCCAATGCGCAGTTGATTTAAATTTAAATACGCGTGTTGTAATTAAAATTGACTTTTCCACGTTGGGCCTTTTGTTTTTGCTCAGCGCGAAATGCGAAATGCGAACTGCGAACTGCGAAATGCCAAAAATTATGCAACACATGCGAATGTGCGCACAGCTGTTGACATATTCCGCCAGCGGCCATTTTGTAGCCTACACCGTCTGACGCCACTGTCATTATCTGTCAGAACGAGCGTGTGAACGGGAGAGAGCGTGCTGCCATTGAGATGTGCAATTTTAACGGCTCAGAGAACACACAAATCGACGGAAAAAAACGTCTGAGGCTCGAACCCCGTTCAGCTTATGACAACATTTTAATATAATGTCAAACATGGTTTGCGCATCGCCATATTCAATTTCGTAGTCCATGATGAAAGCATTGCCACAGCACAAGAATTCGACTCTGCAAATGCATTTATTTATACATTCATTTTTTTTTATTTATTTTTATATTTTTTTTCATGTTTTTTGGCAATTTTATATCCACAAAATGGTTTATTAGAACGTCGCCGCCATAGCTGTTGTTGAATTTTGTGGTTGTTGTCCACTCTTTAAAAAGAGAAAATTTTAAATAAAAAAAATTGATACAGAGCAAAATGGGAGCGTTTGCGACAGGCTGCCATTTGCATGGGTCCATGGATGCTGCGACTGGATGCTAGGCATAAATTCTATTATAAATAACATTTAGCGTACGCGAGTTTGGCGACTGTCAGCAATGGAAATTGGAAAATATATGTATATATATATATATATGTATACATATGTATATATATATATATTTATATTATCGTCTGAATATTCAGACTGAAGCCAATACAAATTGTGGTTTCTAGATTGAAAGTAGTACGAGTTTTAGTATACATATATATATACTTATATATATATATATATATATAAGTGTGTGTGTGTATGTGTATGTATCTTTTTGTGTGCATCTGACGCATAATCAGATTTGAAAATTAAATTTGCGGTTGCGTTGAGGCCAAGTTAGGCTGAAACAATTATCGAGTGCTTCTGACACGGTCATTGTCAGCATTGAATTAAGCCAAATAGCTACTTAATGGCATAAAGAGTGTGGAATTTATAGAAAATGTAGACCAGATAAGATATCCATTAAGCCTTGGAGCTTGTTAATTGTATAATTGGACTTCGACTGCGACCTGGCTCAACTCTCGCATTTCTCTAAAGAGACCGCGCTCAATCAGCATAATGAAATGGACGTGCCTGTTCAATTAGCTCGCCGCTCCAACAATAACAAGCGATAATTAACGTTTAATAAACTGTTTGAGCGCGCGTATTACGCATCCGACACGTGTGACAGTACAAATGCGTGCGTGTGTGTGGGTGAGCCATGCAAATTAATCAAATTAGCATCGTTAAGCCTCGGCATGCGACTTGTAATTGACTTAAAGCATGTTAACCACAAGATATCATATTTACTACGCAAACACATCGAGACTATAAAACTTAACTCTCGTTATTTATGTAGCAAATCGGCGCCTCGCTTAAGATAAATGTGCACGCTATATATTCTTTCAGATTGTTCTCCTCGGCCTGGCCAAGCAAAACATAAAAGTATTCTCGGAATGAAAAAGGCCATAAAAACAAAAACTGTTTAGATATTAAATTAGTTCCATGTATTGGCTGGCGCATCAGCAGCAGCCCAGCACCAGCAGCACCAGCTGTTCGCATTAATTATTTGTTTTTCAAATAATTTAGCTCTTTTCTCTTTCAATTATCCATTAGCAATTGCTTGAAGCTTGTTGATAGACATTAGACAAATTAAATGCGTTCAATGAAAATCTATTAAAAAGGTAGCCCGAAAATGGAACCACGTCATTAGGAATAAAATTATAGTAATAAAAGTCTAAAATTATATTATTTACTAGGCCGTACATATGTTTTATAATAAATTTTAGTTTAGTAGACTCAGAAATCAATTAACAATAATTGTTGCACGTCGGTCCTACTATCTTGTCAATCATCTCGGGATTGACGTTTCGAATTATGTTGCGAATTTAATATGCGCTGTCAATTATAAAGCTACCTCAATTAAAATAATGTTTAAATTAATTGCTGTGCAGCCTTTCTAGCTTACCAGCTGACGGCCAGTTCGTTCTTTCAACTTGGCTCACAATGTTGGCCATCAGCTCGCATACATATGGCGCGCTTCTGCTGCTCCTACTGACTGGCTTCTTGACCACCTATCAACACTCAATTGAGCTGGGTCATTCTGAAACCAACTATATCCGAAATATAATAGAGTATGCTCACAAGGAGAGACCCATAGAGACTCTTGTGTATATGAACCGTCGACAGGACCTCATCTGCCATTCGAGAGAAATCAAATCATCTGGCTTGGCCACTCTGCGTATAGATGAGAAGTCCATGATCAGTGTAAAAGAACTCTACAATAGCGAGGCTCTTGCTCTGGTCTGCATATCCGAGTTGGCTGATGCCCTGCTCTTGCCCACCCTGGCCCAGAACCTTGATCGGATGAGAGAGACGCGCATCATAATTCTATTGAATACTATGTCATCCAATCTTCAAGAGTTTCTCCGTGTAATCGGTGAGCTGGCAGACAATTATAGCTTCGTCAACGTCATCGTTCTGCACTCTACATCCGATGACAAAGATCCGATTGTCCCGTATCGTCTGCTGCCGTTTCCAAGTCCAACTTTTTCCCGTGTTAGGGATGTATATGATGGATACATATTTCCCAATACTTGGCTTAACTTTAATAACAAAACAGCAACTTACTTACCAGATCTGATCTCCCCACGGAGTCTGTTGGCAACAAATCCTCGCACTGGCGAGCAGACGCTAAGCGGCTCTTCTGACAGCTTTACCATGGAGTTCGCAAGGAGAAGGAACATTAACTTGCAGTTCCTGATACCTCTGAGTGAAATGTGGAATATTGACTTTGGCAATGTTTCCGAGTTAACGAAACAAGGCCTCATTGACTTGCCAACACGACCATTTGTGCAGAAACTTAATACATTGCCTTCAAATCTAGAATACGATAGATTGAGTGATGTGAATGTTTTTATTTTAGTTCCCTGTGCGAAGCAAATGAAAATCGGTGATGTATTCAAAGGCTTGAGGACCTACTTCATGATAGTGTTGGCTGCCTATGCTCTGTTTGCAGTTCTTGAAGCATTGACTGCAGCTGCAACTTATCGCATCACTCGAATACAACATTTCCGGTTCTTGGATCTTATTCTGAACCTGCACACGTTTTCTGGGGTTTTGGGAATATCAATGCCGTCGAGAAGGTTCACCTCGATTTCACTGCGGCAAATCGTCATTATCACGACTGTTTTTAGTTTAGTTTTCACCACGTTCTTTAATGCCAACTTGAGCACATTGCTGACAAAGCATCCTTATTATAAGGAGATTGAGAGCTATCAGGAATTGCGGGATAGTGGGATGCCTATTATGATCGATAGAAGTTTTGAGAAATTCATCAATATGTCAAAAGCCGAACGCGCAAACATTTCAAATCGAGCCATGCATACCTAGTGTCTTCGAATATATGGACTCTCGTCAAATACTATCAGAAGCGTCACAGCCGCATTATCTTTTGTAAGCCTCAAGCATTAAAGTTCGCAAAAATAACCAGATTTATAGGAATTCTCAAGCGGAATTCAATTTTTATAAAGCCCTATTCCGAGTTTAAATTGGAAACTTACAGATTTGGATTGAACAAACATTGGAATAGGCAAGCTGCTCATAAACTTATGTCAAAAGACTTTTTCTCGAACCAAATTGATGGCCAAGAATATTTAAATTTCACACCACTTAGTTTTAAGGACCTAAAATGGTTATGGAAATTACTTGGGGCATGCTACATGGTGGCAGGCTTTGTGCTGATTGCCGAAATTTTTATTGCCCGTTGGCAAAATAAAAGAGCCAGAAACAATATAATTGTCGAGGAATTTGTTGTCTAAGTCTTTTTTAAAAACAAATATATAAATCTATCAATAATTGTTCATAATCACAAAAAAGTTTAAACTTTAATGCAAAATAAATATTTAAATTTAAAATATTTGTTGCTTACTAAAATATCTCAATGGAAATTCTAGGTGTGCCCTAATCTATTCTATTTATCTATTCATTTTATTTTCATTTGTTTTGAAGGCAGAAGGAGGCGTGGCATGCATTTACTCGATCTGTATGGTAATCTGAGTCTACTTGCCCGCTGAAGTCTAGAAATTTGAAATGTTTAACGTAAGCAGTATGAGCTTCTCATGGTGTTTTTCTAAGTTTATTGATTGCAAAACCGTTTGAGCTATATAGTAATAAGTAATCAATACTATAAGAGTACTATTTGAAGTAGGAATTGTAAGAGAGAAAATATCACTCTTCCTATGCTCGCTCTGCCCTACTTACTGAATATGACATTGTTTAACTGCATCCCTATATCAGACGTTGCATGCATAGTAGCTTGAGCACTGGGAGCATTCCATTGCTAAATACACAGACTTCCAATATTAGATTATTTCCCCCTTCATATCCAAACTCCAAAGAAAATTACGTTGCACCTAATAGAGTCTTGGACTTTGGCTCAGTATGCTTATGCCATTGTGAATTTTTAAATTAATTGAAATTCCACCTTTTCGAAGGGGTTCAGGATATCTCCAGCTAAGCTTCATCATCTTCATCTCAATGTGCATTGTCAAATAATATTCATGTTTAATGTTACTTTAATCTGTACCAAATGTTACTTCAAAGTCTCTATAAAGCTATCTGTTTGGACAAGTCCTAGCAGGTGTATCCATAGTAAGCATCAATAGTGACGAAATATTGACAGACGTCAGGCAGCATGATGGACATTGCACTTAACCAATATACAATTTTCACCTCGGGAGCGAGTATAAAAATTCAATTAACAATAATTAAATTGTGCAGAGAATTTCCTTAATGTACGCCGACCTCATGCTCTGCCTTGTACCTTAGCTCGTGATGGACATATAGAGCAACATTGCAAATCTGAGATCCGCTGTCAGTTATAAAGCAACCTCAATTAAAATAAAAATAATTAAAATAGTGTTTAAATTAATTGCTGTGCAGCCTTTCTAGCTTACCAGCTGGCGTCCAGTTCGTTCTTTCAACTTGGCTCATAATGTTGGCTATCAGCTCACATAAATATGGCGCGCTTCTGCTGCTCCTACTGACTGGCTTCTTGACCAGCTGTCAACACTCAATTGAGCTGGGTCATTCTGAAACCAACTATATCCGAAATATAATAGAGTATGCTCACAAGGAGAGACCCATAGAGACTCTTGTGTATATGAACCGCCGACAGGACCTCATCTGCCATTCGAGAGAAATCAAATCATCTGGCTTGGCCACTCTGCGCATAGATGAGAAGTCCATGATCAGTGTAAAAGAACTCTACAATAGCGAGGCTCTTGCTCTGGTCTGCATATCCGAGTTGGCTGATGCCCTGCTCTTGCCCACCCTGGCCCAGAACCTTGATCGGATGAGAGAGACGCGCATCATAATTCTATTGCATACTATGTCATCCAGTCTTCAAGACTTTCTCCGTGTAATCGGTGAGCTGGCAGACAATTATAGCTTCGTCAACGTCATCGTTCTGCACTCTACATCCGATGACAAAGATCCGATTGTCGCATATCGTCTGACGCCGTTTCCAAGTCCAACTTTCGCGCATGTTAGGGAAATAAAAAGTGGACTTATATTTCCTAGGGTTAAATTCAATGGGAAAGCGGCTCTTATTTCACCTGACCTAATTCCACCTCGCAGCATATTGAATTTTAACCCTCGAACAGGAGAGAAAACCCTATGTGGGACAGCTGATAGATTTATTGGAGAGCTTACGAAAAAAAACAACATTACATTGAGTTTACTACACCCTTTAGGCAACTCAGAGTTTATTGAATCAACTGATATATATAAAATTATTAAGGAAGGTTTAGTTGACTTACCAATCCGAGGCATCATACAGTCAAGGCGTATACCACACAATATAGAATATACAGATTTTGTTGAGTTTTCAAATGCTTTTATTGTAGTTCCTTGCGGAAATGAAATGAGAACAGGTGATGTCTTTTCAGGCTTAAGGAACTATTTCACAATACTTTTAGTGTCATATTTTATATTTGCAATAATGGAAACTTTCATTATATTGACGACAAATTGGATTCTCCAACGCAGACCCAATACTCAACACTGGAACTTAGTCTTAAACCTGCGGGCATTTGCTGGAGTCTTAGGACTTCCGATGCACCTGAGGAGATATGGAGCTAGCATCTCCCTGCAGCAGATCATAATGCTAATGTGCATTTGCGGCCTGGTCTTCACCTCCTTTTTCAATGCCAATCTCAGCACTCTGCTGACGAAGCACCCACAGAATGCAGACATTACAAACTTCGATGAGCTCCGGGATAGTGGACTAGATGTTATATTCGATAATATATTTCTATTGACTATTAAAAAAAACTATAATTTGAGCGCTTTCAAAAAAATAGTTCCAAATGCCAAATTCGTTCCAACTAAACAGTATTTATATCAAATTCTGTCCTTAAACTGTAGCTTTGCCTATCATGTGTACACACATATCTGGAATGTTTTAGACAACTATCAGAGGTCTCATAATGAAATTAGGTTGTGTCGGCCCGAAGGAATGAGCTTGATTACCAACGCTGTTATCAGAACGGTTCTCAAGAGAAACTCAATATATAAGGAGACATTTCGAGACTTTATGCATGATTCCCAAAGATTTGGATATTTCAAACATTGGGAGGTTGAGGCTGGTTTGAAAATGATGTCAACTGTACATTCTCGTTTACCAAAACCATTGCCAAGACGCACTCCAGAGTTTAAGCCAAGTCCTTTAAATTTCCAGGACTTTAAATGGTTGTGGAAGTTGCTCGGAGTTTGCTACATGGTTGCAGGCTTGGTTTTCATTGCCGAATTATGTGTGGCCTATTGGCAAAAGAAACAAGCTAGAAAGGATGTCATAATAAGGGAAGTCGTAATATAAAATTTGGAATATACCTTTATAACTTATAAATTGTTCAAAAATACAACAAATAAAAAATTATTACTATAATTATGTGCACAATAAATATTGAATTCTGTTCATATCATAAACTTATTTCATTTCAACTAAAAATTTATTGACTTGAATCCAAAATGCTTACAAGTTGGAATGCTCTAGGCGGGAGTGACCGACTAGAAAATACCCTGAGTCTTGCGATCAAATTCCAATTATCACGACAGGGCTAGATCTACTCAGCACATCCTGCTGGTCAATGACATACATCATTTATGGGTTCTGCCACGCCTTCTTCAGCCTGTTCCATACATATTCACCAACCCATTAAGCCCTAAATTTCCGTTTTCAATGGGTTCAGCCATTTATATTATTTCAATTGAGCTGACAATTTATAGTTTTTCGTTCGAGCAGTCAATCAACTCTTGTTTGACATATCGCATAATACTGAAAACTTTAGATCCCATATCAGCTTTTACCATTAACTTAATAAAATCAAACTTTAGTTCAATGGCTCGGCTGCCGTGTCAACTATAAAATTGATTAACTTCTGCTCAGTTTGTCCTTTCCACTTGGATCAGAATGTTGGCTTTTCGCTCCTGGGCATTTTGCGTGCTTTTGCTGCTGCTTCTATCTGGCTATCTGAGAAATGCATCTTCAGAAAGCCTCTTTATCCGCAATGTCATAGAGAAAGTCTTGAAGGAAAGCGACGTAGTAACGCTGTTGTATATGAATCGTCGACCGAACATCAATTGTCCTTTAATGGAAATCGACATGGATGGATTTGCTACACTGCGCTTGGATCAGGAAACCACAATCAACATAAAGGAGATCTTTAATAACGACGTTCTCTCCTTGGTGTGTATGTCTGAGTTGGCTGATGTCATGCTCCTGTCCAGCCTGGCCCAGAGCCTTGATCGAATGAGAGAGGCGCGTATCATAATTCTATTCCATACCAGGTCATCTAATCTTCAAGAATTTCTCCATGCAATCGCTGAGCAGGCAGACAATAATAATTTTATCAACGTCATCGTTCTACACTCGACATTCCCCGAAGACAAAGTTCCAATTGTCGCGTATCGTCTGCAGCCGTTTCCGAGTCCAACTTTCGCGCGCATTATGGTTATAAATGAAGGACAAATCTTTCCCAAGGTCAGGCTTAACTTCCAAGGGAAAACGGCTGTTGTTTTACCGGATCTGATTCCACCTCGCAGCATGATTACGACTAATCCTCGCACTGGACAGAAATCATTTGGTGGATCTTCTACCAAACTCATTATGGAGTTTGCGAAGAAAAACAACATTAAGCTACACTATCTGCGAACTCCGGCTGATTCCCAGCCCATTGAAATACAAGAGGTGCACAAGATAACCAGAACGGGTGTCCTTGATTTACCAATCCGAGCCCTCATACAAACACTAAATCCTCCCCCAAACTTAGAATATGCAAATGCACAATTTGAGCTATCGAGCTCATTCATTGTAGTGCCTTGTAGATATCAAATGAGAATAGGCGATGTCTTCTCAGGCTTAAGGACCTACTTCACAATACTTTTAGTATCATATCTAATATTTGCAATAATGGAAACTTTCATTATACTGACGACAAATTGGATTCTCCAACGCAGACCCGATACTCAACACTGGAACTTAGTCTTAAACCTGCGGGCATTTGCTGGAGTCCTAGGACTTCCGATGCACCTGAGGAGATATCGAGCTAGCATCTCCCTGCAGCAGATCGTAATGCTAATGTGCATTTGCGGCCTAGTATTCACCTCCTTTTTCAATGCCAATCTCAGCACTCTGTTGACAAAGCATCCACACGAAACAGAAATTAAAAATTTTGATCAGCTTTGTGATAGTGGATTGGATATTATTTTCGACAAAAGTTTTCTGCTTGCCTTGAATCACAGCAATTTAAATAGTGGCTTTAAAAAGTTAGTGCCGAATGTCAAGTTCACTTCAATGAATCAATATATATATGAAATTTTGGCCCCAAACTCCAGCTGTGCCTACAACATGTATTCACATGTTTGGAAAGTTATAGACAACTATCAGAGGTCTCGCAATCGAATTACCTTGTGTACGTTCGATGGCTTGAAACTAATTGACAATGCTGTTCTCCGATTTGCTCTCAAGAAAAACTCAATTTACAGGGAGGCGTATCTGGATTTTGTGCTTGATTCTTACAGATTTGGACTTGTCGATCATTGGGAACTCGAAGCTGGCCTTCAAATGATCTCAACGCTACATGCTCGATTGCCGAAAACATTTTCAGGGGATAATCCGACTCCACTCAGTTTCGAAAACTTGAAATGGTTGTGGAAGTTTCTCGGCGTTTGCTACATCGTGGCAGGTCTTGTTTTCGTTGCTGAAATTGGCTTAGCCCATCTGCAGAAGAAACGAGCTAGAAGCGAAGGCATCATAAGGGAATTCGTAATATAAAATTTAACACTTATTCGCACGATACACAAATACTTCACAAATACGAAAATCAATAACTTTAAATGTTTATCTTACCACAATAAAAAATATATGTCGTTTGTTTTGAACTCTCTATCTTAAACTCTACAATTCTAAGAATAAATTTGTACTTAATAAACTCTTCTAGGATTTTGTGAATCTGACGCTTTCTTTTGTCATAGAAAATACATATTTAAATTAATGGATAAAACTAAAAAAGTTTATTTTTGTTAATTGAGGCAGATGCAGAGCCAAAATTCATATAATTCGCGTTAGACTATACGCTTGAGTTTATAGGTTTCATGTTATTGAAGGGATTTTGTTCAAGTGCTCTGTATTCCATATTCAAAATTGAAATATTTTATGTGATTTGGCTACATTTGTAAATAAACTTCCTTATTACAGATTTTTGACCAAAAATTAATTTAGTCAAAATTAGTCCCAGTTGAGAATATAATTGTTTGTCTAAAGCTTTTCAAGTTCTGATTTAACTTCAATGAGAAAACTGTTCTAATTCTATCAGACCTGATTCTAGTCGTTGCAATAAAAGTATTAAACTTACGCAATTCGTTGCTTACTCCTAGTTTTTTTTATATTTAAGAGACAACTTGAAACTTAACTTAAAAAATTATTTTGAAACTCAATTAATTTTTTATAAATATTTTAAAAATATAAAAAAAAATTTAAGTCTAGTTTTTATTTAAGTCTAGTTTTAATATCACTAGACTGGGGTATACTTTAACTTTAATACTTCGTATGATTTTCTTTGAGCTACATTTTCCTCTGTTGATTCATGGCTCATCACAGTCTGTCAGTTTGCCTATCGGAAAGCAGCAGCTGCAACATAATAGTTTAGGCAGATCAATACAGAGCTCAAATAGTGTAAAGTGAAATTAGATTTTAAAAATATTTAAAAAACAAAAATAATTAAAATTAAAATATAAAAATATTAAAATATTAAATATATAATACATACATATATAAAACTATTTATATATATAAAAAATAATATATTTATATATATTTAAAGCATTTCGAAGACAATCCAATTGTCAGTTTAGGCGGCCTCTATCGATAGGCGATTGTAGCTAAAACGAAATTCACTTGGACGACAAAAATTTTCACGTCGCCGCGCAGCAGATTTTCAGTCGTGAAAAGTCGGTTGCGCCGAATGCTCTTTGTGCGCTGCGGTTCAAATGTGTTTGCGGTGTTCATTCGTTGCGCATACGCCACATGCGCCGCGCGTCTTGTGAGCGTTTAACGAGTATTTTCCGTTTGCCCAGTGACAAGCTCAAATCGAATGGGCTCCACTGAGTATGCCGCAAATATTGTAAAACTGACTGAATAAATAAAAAAATTATGTAAATAGCAATAAAAATTGTGTCTTAAGTGTTGAAAACAGAGTTGAAAGTGCGTGCGGACTGTTTGTAACTAAGCGTAGAGATAATCTAGATAAAAGTGAACGTTTGTTGTGCCCTCCGTAGGTGGTTTATAAATAATATCGCTGGCAATTAATTAACATTTGCTTATCAGCCGATTAGGTGCAGCAAATGCTCAATTAATTTGCTCAACACCTTGTCGCATGTCGCAATATTTTATGCGCTGTCGCATGCTTTAATCGTTGAATAGTTTTTTGTCTCCTCTTTTATTGTCGTCTGCTGTGGCACGCTGAGCTGTTTTATGTGCCTTCATAATTTAGAAAACCATTTTGATCGGTCTAGCAGACGATACAGCTACAATATACTCTAGCTATATATATGTGTGCAGAGCAGAGCGAATTGTTTATGAAAATCACAGAGAGCTTAACACAAAGTCAAAAAGCAAAACATTAACCCACACGCGCCGACGAATCGCTCATGGAACGGCTCGACTGGCTCTGGCATCAGTCAATGTCAGTTGGCTGGTTGCCAGCAGCTGGGGCGCGGGGCATGCAGCGTAAATGGTAAGAAAAGGGAAAGTGTGCGGCGACATGGACATGCAGTTGAGTGGATCGGAAAGTTCTGGCTGCGCTACACTCAAGTCGAAAACTTGCTCAACAACAAAGCAAATTTTCCAAGCACATTTTCCATTCTTGTTCCTTTCGAGATGTCAAGTATCAAGTGGCATAGATATATATATGTATATTGAGAACTATTGAAAACATATGCTGCTTGGCATATTTTATCTATTATTTAAATTATTTACTATTTATTTATACTCATGGCATTGGCCCAAGTGCACAATTTATTGCTCTGATTTCTGTTCGTAAAACTTTTCAAGTTTATGCTTAAATCTTTGCTGGAATTGTGCAATAATTGGCAATGATATAATTTGTAAATATATGAAATTATTAAGCGAAGGCTGCAAACTTGAACGACTTTTAAATTGGGTTAACAGCGGTGCGACTATATTCTGCTGTCTTTTGATATTTTTTGTATAGAGTAAAAGCGACGTGAGATAAAGGCAAAATGTTTAAGGTGCTGCAGGTGGAGCTATGGAATTTGATTTGTTTGTTAGCACCGAATGATATTGTGTGTGTAGCGCTATTTCATGTATGTAGAAATGATATAGATATATATGAACTGAAGAGTTATTTTGTAGAACACTCATTGCTAGGTCGTCTGACAAGGGCTGAGTGCTGTGAGCTAGAAATAATTTGCAGAGTCTGCGTTGATTAGAAAATTTTCCATCCATTGCTATTATTATGCCATTTTCTTATCAAGAATGATCTAATCCTTTATTCAGTCAAATTCTTATATAAGCTGCATCTCAGCTGCAGTTCTGTACTGCATGGAAGTCTCTACTCCTCAAGGTTAGTTTTCTATTAAATTAATCCGTTTTCATTATAATTTTGTAGCCAATAACGGTATCGGCATCATGAAATTCCAGAAAGACAATTTCTAGACGCTGCTCTTCGTCCAGTGACAATGCTAACGATCTTGGTCGAATGGGCTAAATATCTCTATCTCTCTCTCTCTATCTCTTCTCACTCTCTCACACACACAGTGACAATTAGATGATACAAAACAAGATTAAGAAGCTTGGGTCTCATTTTTGCAACAGCTCTCAGCCTCACAAGCACCCAATGAATTGAGAAACTAAGCAAATAGATGCATATAAATATATATATAATTTTTTTTATATAATATCTAACTAAATACAACATAAACATATCTTCCATTTAAATAACAGCTTGCTTTCATTGCACTCTTTCGCTTGGTAATCATCAACGTTCACCCATGCAAGGCGTGAGCCAATAATCCCCTGCAGTTTGTCAATAGCTTCGCCTTCAGCGCTGTAGCTATATAGCGAGAGGCTATAGGAAATATATATTATGCTTATAGATATGGCATACAATGTATTTATTTTGTTTATATCTGAGTTGATTGAAACAGATTTGGATTTCTTGCTTGCATCATTTCCGTTTGTGGCTTTTTGCTTATCTTTCAATTTGTTGCCAAAACGCAAAGCTCAAGCTTCGCCTCTCTCTCTCTCCCTCTCTCTCTATATATCTCGATCTCTCTTACTCTGCCAGCGATTGACGTTTTCCAAATTTTCGTGCAATTTACATATATTTTTAGCTTTTATCTATTTTCAAAATAAATGAATTTCAATGGAAGCAAAATACGCCCGAATTGCGCCGCAAAAGTTAGCGAAAATCTCTGTGCCTCGTCAATTAGTGGCACAATCAAATGCAACATGCCAGCTTGTTGCTGCTGTGGCATCCACTTAGAAAACACACGCTGCCTGATGCCTGCTGCTTTCGCGTCATTTATGGTGACGTCAATGTGCGCGCTGAGGCCCTACAATATGCCTGCCATATAGTAGATATATACATGTGTGTGTGTGTGTATAGGTGTATTGCTGCCTCTAATTTTAGCCTCTCTTTGTGGAACTTTGCGATTTTTGCACTTTTATTGCTGCCTATAATTGGTCTGTTTATGTGCACGCCCTGAACTTGAAACGGTTTGCAACAGCATGTTGCATGCTGCATGCTCGTTGCATGTTGCAATAAGAGCACAGCTAGAGCTGAGCTGGCCGATGTCTTGCGTTAGTTTTGCCTGGGATTATGATGTTATATAGTCGCTGTTGCGGCAATTAGATTTATTTTTGTCACGTTGCCGCGACTTGAACTTTGGCGCAGAGTCGAAGTGCCCGCTGACTCAGTGCCCAGCGAAGACACTGAAAGAAATTGCTAGATAGTTGACTACAAAATATATATATATAATCAGAAATAATGGAATGTAAATGTAATATAATTTTTTACAGAGAAAGAAGATAAATAGGTAGTGAGTGTGAGGGAGATATAGACATGATAGAGATATATATAGAGAGAGAGAAGGAGAGAGAGGAAGAAAGAGAAAGAAGACAGTGAGAGAGCAATTGAAGCGAAGACGGGGAAATACAGACAAAGGCATGCAGAGAGGGTGAGGGAGATGGAGAGAGATAAAGAGGAAAGATGACAAAGATAGAGAGAGATATAAAAAGATAGAGAGAAGATATAGTAAGACAGAAATTGGGACATACAGAAAAGATAAAGAAGTGAGAGAAAGAGAAAGAGAGAAAAAAAGAGAGAGAGAAAGAGAAGTAAAGTGAAGGGGAGAGAGCAGAGAGAAAGAGAGGCAGGAAAAAAGGAAAACGGAAGATAGGGGGAAAATAAAGAAAAAGAAATAGGAAAAGGGAAAGGCACGGAGAAAATGAGACAGGGAGAGAAAGTGAGATAGAAATAGAGAGATATATAGTGAAAGAGGGAGAAAGATATATATATATGAATGTGGCGATAATCAGATATTCAATAAAAAATAAACAAATTATCATCTAAGCAGTAAAATATCAAAGTCTTCGACAGACACACAGATATATGTAAAACCTAGGGGAATTAAGAAAATGTGAGAGGCGGAAAGATAAGTAGTAAAAAATGTCAAATAAATAGCTAAAGGGGCAGACAAACAGGAAGTAAGTTCCACAGATATCGAAATGATCGAGAATATGTAAACTATGCCAAAAATAAAATAAAACAGACGCAAGCATAACGTATGTTTGTAAACAGATTTATATATATAATTTTTTATTTTTATAATTTTTATGAGCCATTAAAGTGTTCTCTTATGGCATATCGTTAGCCATGTCTCTTTTGACCTGCCTTCGCCAACTTTTTGCACCATGTAAGCTGGCTTCATTCCATGGGCAGCTGAGCACAGATATGGAATGTGGTTTTGCAATGGGGCATGGGCATGCCTCATGCGATTGTCGTTTCCGATGACACATTATGATAAAATCGAACAATTAGCCTTTAGCTCGCTCTTGACGCTTCAATTAATATTCATAAGCTAACTAATACAGTGTTAAATCCAATCCAAAGCTACAAACAAACATGTGCGTTTATATGCATGTGCATGTGTGTGTGTGTCGGGCAATACAATCGCAATTAAAATTAATTATGTCATATGTCTTTTTGTCAAGTGTAGTTCACGAGCGCCGTTTGCTCATATTTGTCCAGCGTTTGTCATCGCAGTTCCAGTTCCAGTTCAGCCGTCAGCCGGTTGAAAGCAGCGGACGCATCGAACGTCTGCGTGTGTGTGTGTAAGTACTGTAACAAATGTCTGATGCTAATTAGCTAGTTTTTAGTCACCCATGCAAATGTAAATACATACTTATTATTTAAATCAACAGGTGGGGACACTGAAATAAGCGATAAAAACGATTTGTTTATAAACGAAACAGCGAACAGCAAAAATTGGCAAACCTGAAAAGTTGCCGACAGAAGAACAGCAACAAACAACGATGGACATGCATTTAAATAAAATTTAAAAGCGAATTCAAAGTGCACATATATTTTGGCTAAGTGTGTGAGCGAGTACATGTGTTTGTGAACGAAACAAATTGACAAAAATGTTTAATTTGCTGCGACGCACGCGTCAAAGAAAAGCGCACAAAAACAAAAACTACGATGTAAGCGACGAAGAGGAAGCAATACAAACGAAAATAACAACAACAACAACACCGCCAACAGCCAGGAGCGCTGAGCAAGAGAACAGTAATGGCAGTGAGAGCCGTTGCCTATTCAGCGCCAGAGAGAGTGACGCTGAGCGACGAAGAGAGTGCGAGCCGAAGAGCGAAGTGCGTTTGCCTACGCAGGCAGCAAGACGCGCTGTGATCGAAGAGCTGGAGGACTTAAGCAGCGACGACAACGACGAAGAGCGGCCATGTGTAAATTTAGCTAAAACAGCTGCGGCGACAGCTACAGCAGCAGCTAATGGCCATTCAGCGATCTCTTGGCGCTCCGACAATTTGAATATAAATAACATGGGCGCAGGCAATGGGGCGACAGCGGCGAGGACGACGTCTGTTGTTGTTGATGATGAACATGATGATCGAAATGGTGGTGATGGTGCTGCTGGGCATGGCAGCGCGACCAGTCCAAACGAGTCAGCCAGCGCGAACGCAAAAGCAAACAACGTCGACGGTCGGCCAATTGGCATTAGCATTGGCCAAACGAAACGCAACAATAACGGGCCAATTACCGATGGCACGGTAATTGATGCGAGCGATACGGTTATTTATCGCAGCCAATCGAAGCATTCGAACGAATTGAAACGACAATCGCGTCTATCGCTGGGAAACTTTGCGCTGCATTTGAGTGGCAGCAGGGACATTGACAGTGCCACAGACACAGATTCGGTGCACAAGAAGCGCAAAGCGTTGCAAAAGAGTCGCGATTTTCTCACAGATATTTTCATGGCGCGTGGACGTAATCATCAGCGCCAGCAGCGAAATCAACAGCAACAGCAGCAACAGCAGCAGCAACATCAATCGAAATCCAAAACATCTATCGACGACAACGTAATCGCCATTGGGCAGACACTGGCAGCACACCTTGAAACGAACTCCGACCCCGCGACCGCGTCCACAAATAGTTATCAAATGACTATGTCTAATAATAGCACACAGTTGCGGCAGAGCGCGGCCAAAGAGCGTGAGCGTGAGCGCGAGCGAGAACTTGAAGGAGAGCGCGAGCGAAACGACAGTAATTCAGCTGGAGGAACGCGACAGGAGCAGCTGGCAAAAGAGAGCCGCCAGCTGGCGAGAGAGGAGCAGCAACGAGATGCGCATAGAGCAGCGAGTGCCAATTTTATTCAAGCGGCAAACGTCGAGCTGTGCACTGTCGCGGAAGATCAGCCAGACGCTGCAGTACTGCAACGCAGCAACAACAGCAGCAGCAGTATCAGCAGCAGCAACAGCAGCAGCAGCAGCAACAACAGCAACAACAACACAAGTGACATAATCTCTAAGAACATGGGCCAGACCAGCACCAAGCCCAACGAGTGCACACAGTCGGCGCATAGCTCACGCGCCAGCACGCCGCGTGAGTTTCGTGAGTCGATTGTGAGCGAGCCACAGAGCGTGCCCGTGGCGCCGCCGCGTCACCAGCACCAACAGAAACAGCAAACACAACAGGAAGTGCCCAAAATAACCGTCGTCGACTGCAGCTTCGAGCAGAGTCCAAGCCAAAGTCCTCAGACGGCGGAAGTGTTCTATGACTTCGAGAGCCAGCCACAATGCCACGGCCTCAACATCGAGGAGCTGAATGAGGCACACGAAGAGACGCTCGAAGATGAGGTATTTGATATACCCACAACTATCTATCAGCAGCAGGCGAACGGCATACCCCGACCCTGGACGCGCTTGACTAATGTCAAGCTGGAGAATGTGCAGGAGGAGGCCGAAGAGGAGGATGATCCACAAGCCGAGCCGGAGCCCGAGGACGATGAGCTCGACGAGGCGCTCGATCTCGAATGCGATGACCATGGGCGTGGCACGCCCAATGGTTCGCGCCAATCGGCGAGCAGCGAACGCAGCGCGCTCAAAAGCGATTCCAATCTAAGCAGCAGCTATGCCGACTCGGGCATCGGCATGGGCCTGGGCGTGGCTGCTAACGAGTCACAGCCAGCAGAGCGGCAGCAGCAGCAGCAGCAGCCGGTGCAGACGCCAACGTCACGTAGCGCTGCAGCGTTGCAGCCACGGCACACGCCCTTCGTGCGCGACGGCAACTCAACATCCACCGACTGCGACTGCGAGGAGCTGTTGCTGCAGTGCGACGAACTCGACGATGAGCAGCAGTTCGACGAGCGTTTGGTCTGCATCGAGAGCATTAGCCTGCCCGACGTCGTTGTCGAGTCAACGACCGTCACAGCGCAAGCAAATGCCAGCAGCAGCAGCAGCAGCAGCAGTGGCGGCAACAACAACAACAACAGTGGCAACAATGGAGATGGCCATCTGAATATCAATATTACCAATGGCGCCGGCGGCAATAGCCTCGGCAATGTGCATTTCATACCGATACATATCGAGGGCTCAGCTGCTGCTTCTGCCGCTGCGGCACGCAGTCGCAGCAACAGTCCCAAGCAGCGCAGTTTGGACGACAGCTGCATAGGACGCAACATGCCGCCCAGCGTTGAGATCGTCGAGGATGGCAGCGTGCTCAACAATCAGACGGACAGCAATCGCGAAACCCTGGAGCTCAAGTAACGTATACGCCAAGTATAACCCGTTCTAGTAACGTATACGCCATGTCTAACACGCCGCAGCCATAAATCATAGGAAAGCGCAAACAAAAACAAAAGTGAAACCAAGCGATGATCTAATACGTCTTAGCTTTTTTGCTTCTGAATGATTCAACGTTTTGTTTATTGTTTGTGCAGCGCTGCGTATGCGCAATATTTATGCCGCTTTCCTCTGAGCTGCTGCAACTGCATTCTTCTCTGTGGCATCAAATGTGATGCCTGCATTAATTAGTTGACGCCCCGCAGCGTCCACTGCTTCCATGACATTTGCGTAGCAATTTTCCTGCTGGCATTCATCTTGATCGCTTTTCCTCTGTCTTGTTTCCCATTCATATATATGTGCTTTGTGGCAATTTTCCAGTCACCTAAAAAGAAAACATTTTCTGCGCTGTATTTTCCTTTGCTTGCGATTTGCGTACACAATTTTTTATTATCGTTATGTTTTATATATTTTCTGCCAATCATTTTTGTGCGTTCCGAGATTGTGATTTATACGTTTTCTTGGAAAACAAGAAAATCGAAGGAAAATTTTAATTATTCATATTTGTTATATATCAAATGAAAAGTTTATATTATTCCTAGAAGTTAACTCTTAGAGAAAATTTTAGTTATTTTCATAAAAAATATTTTGTGATATTTTAGGCTCTTGATACTCTGCACTTAATCAGAGAGGGTATACTGGTTGTATAGATCAACATTAATAACTGAGTTAAACTAGCCGAATCTGTCTGTGACCTAAATATACTTGTATAAAAGAATAGCTAAAGATCGCTGATATAGATTTAATCAAACTATCGATATATATCGTTCATTATCGATTGTTAAATTTTTTCTTTTGTAATATTTCTAGTCGAGGTTATATGTTTGAAGGAATATCAGGAAATGCGATTAAGTTTGTTAGTTATCTAAATCGATAAGTTTCGATAATACAATTACTGTTTTTTAATAAGTCTCAAACACTGTGTAGATCTAACCAAGTCGTTCGCTCGAGCGAATATAAAAGTTATGGTTTATTAAAATATAGTTTATTAAAACTAACTATAAATTGCTCTTTTAAACCAAAGATATCGATTACAAAATTATGTTCCTTTTATAATATTTCGAAATTGAGCTGATCTAGTCTGTTAGTCTACATGTAACTAAAGCCAATAAGAGCAAATACAAATAATGAATTTAATCTATAAATCGATATGTGTCGATAATAAAACTGTGTGTTTCAGGTACATTTTGTTGGGTGTTAATAGTACATATATAAAATATTTGAGTGGAAAACAATAGCCAAGGACATACTAAACTTCACTCAATTTAACAACAATTAATTTCTATGTAATATTTATAGTAAAAACTTTTTTTTTTATTATTGCAATTCCTCATAGGATATTTCATAATCCGGCAAAGCCAACTGGTTTTCTGCTACTTTTTGTGTATAAAAATAGCCTTGAACTAACTTGAAAGATTCCATTTCCATTCCACAAAACCATAACAGATATATATATAAATATATATATATTTATATATCTTTGAATTCTTAACAAAAATTGTATTTTTATTTGTGCTTTGTTTTTGCCCTATTTAAATATTTTTGTTTAACAAAATTAATCTCAATTTAAAGCAATTATTTCTTTTTGCATATTACGTATACGCTCTTGCAAAACTATTTGAATTTATGTATATTTAAATTTTTATTTATTTGTATTTATATCATATAACAACATGTGTCACTTGCCCATTGTTTGGCCTTCAGAAATATGACAGATTGTGACAGCCGGTCGGCAAGTGTCTTGACCAACTAGCGATATATATATTATCTATATATTGCGTACTAACTATTCACATTAGTATTTATGTAGAATTATTAAATATTTTATAAAATAGGCAGGCATTTTATGGCATCTCTTTTGCGCCCTTCCGTTTGGCGGTTTCAGCTGAAAATAATTTCGCTCGTCATTTGTTGGCAACATGTTCGCATTTCCCACGCCCAGTTTTCAATAATTTTCTTTTCATATGCAGAGCGTCAAGTGTGCATAGAACACGAGCTGCCTGCTCTAGTTTTTCCGGTTTATTTTAGCTGCTTTTATTTTTCGTCAATTTTTGGCTCTACCGGACGCAGCGAAATGCGAACAATTTCTAAATTTCTAAATTGCAAATGCTGGCAAAATGCACGTTTTGAGGTTGGGCGGGAGGTGGACTGCTCTTGATTTAACAGCTGGCCCCTGAAAGTGGGCAAGTAAACAATCTTAGCCCATCAATCGGTTGGCCATGTTCGAATGTTTGCGCCCAGCGCTGCGCAATGGGGCTTATGCGTAATTTCTTTAGCCTGCATCTAACTTATGAGCTGCTGTGTTTAGATAAAGTAATTTCATGAACAACTTGGGCATAAACAAACTAACAACAGAAGCAGCAGCAGCAACATTCTTGGCCAAAAACTCAACTCAAAATAATTGAAATAACTTGCCAGATACATTTTGTCTGCTGTATCTGTGTATCTATATATCTATGTATCTATGTATCTGTGCATCTTGTACGCAGCATCGCGTGTCACAATTTGATAAATTCGCCACTCATTGTCTCTCGAGCAGCATCTTAACACTTGCCAAATTGCACAGCCACACGGATACAGACACGGATACAGATACAGCCACAACTATAGAGCTATAGATACACAGATACGTTGTATCTTTTAAAAATAGCTTTGCGCATTTGCATATCGCCGCGCGACAACACAACAAATTTAAATAAGTTACATTCAATTAAAACGTATTTTATTTTGCGTTTAATGCAAAAACAAAGTAAAACAGCAAATTGCTAACAACGACCTGAACGCCAATACAATGCTCTAAAAGGAACAATGAACTGATATAAATGTATATATATTTAAAAATATACGAATATATAAATATAAAAATAAATAAATATACAAATATAAAATATAAAATTAAATAAATATATTACTATTTAAAAAATATAAATACAAATAATACATAAATTCAAATATAATATTATTTATATTTATATTTATATATTTATTCACGAATTTATTTTTATTAATTTCGTACATTTTTATCATTTTATTAACAATTATATATATATATTTATTAATTTATATTTATATTTATATATTTATTCACGAATTTATTTTTATTTTTATTTTTATTAATTTCGTACATTTTTATCATTTTAATAATAATTTTATATACATTATATTTTTTAATTTATATTTATATTTATATTTATATATTTATTCTCAAATTATGTTTTTATTTTTATTTTTTATTAATTTTATATGCTTTTATAATTTTAATAATAATTCTTTATGCAATCGTTATCTAGTATTAAACGTGCTCCCAAATTTAATATATAATTAAAATTTTAATAAATAATTTAATATATAATTTATATATAACATGCATATATCTTAGCTTCTACATATTCCAAATAAGCTTTCCCTATCACAGGTTTTATAATTCATAATCTTTGTAAATATCAATTAGATAGCTCCTCTATAATCGAATGCTTCAACTCTATAGAAAGTTTTTCTCAAATATTTTTACAGCCGCTTGCTTTCAACTTTGTAAAAAGGCAAAGCCAAACTCAAAGAATCTTAGAAATTCTAAGGTGATTTAAAGGCATTTCCCGAGCTGCAGATGCAACTCTTTCTAGAAAACTCTTTCAGTTATTTATACTGCTCAGCTGAGCTGTTGATCAGCCAATCTCTAACCAATCTATATAAACAACTCACCTGAAGCCCATCAGTCCAAAGCCCTTTACAATGACCACACAGTCTCAGTGTAGCCTGTTGAAAGAGTATGAATAAGTTCAAAGATATACCAAATAGATGCGCTTGTCTGCGTTGTCTGCGTCGCTAGCAAATTATGGCTAGCCTGTGGGGAAGACATTCCCACAATGTTTTCTGCACCTCATTTCAGTCTTTCGATTCAAGTGCGTCAAGTCGTTAACATATACAAAATAAATGTGTCTATATGTGCGAGTGTGTGCTATATAGGTGTGTGCGTGTGTGTCTTAAATATTATATTTATTTATTTATTTATTTCTGCTGTGGCTTAGTTAAAAGTCTAACATAAGACACAAGTGCGTGCGCTGCTCACGTAGCTGACTCATTTTTTGTTTTCACTCGGATTTTCTAGAGATTTGTTGACTAAAAATATTTAGATATAAAGAAAGATATATATATATATATATATATATATATATCTGCAATTATTTGTCTGGCTTTCGGCATTCATTCACAGAAAGGAGCTGAAGGCGCAGAAGGCGCGTTTTAGCACACAGCTCGAGGATGCGCACAAAAATGTTCAGAGTCTGGAGAGCAAAGTGAGCGATATGCAGTTGAAGATACAGAATCTAGAGCATGAGCTCTCGCAGAAGCAATGGAATGTGGACAGTGAGTTGAGCTAGCAGAGCGCTGTGAGCAAACTTTAATCACATTTAACTGCAGGACTCCAAGGAGAGCTTACGGCGGCGCAAAAGGACGATGAATACGTGCGCAAAAAGCTGAAGCTGCTCGAGGACGAAAAGGTTCATCTGCGGCACAAATACAGCGACGATGAGGACGAATTTCGACGCAAATACAGTGAGTGCGCCACACTTTGAATTCCTAGACAATATCGAAACTAAGCTCTTCGCTTCTTTTAGATACTTTGGAGGCGCAGTACAACGAACTAACCGAAAAGTACAAACAGACGCAGAGCCTGGCAAACAGCCTGCAGACACAGCTGGCAGCTGCTCAGGTCGAGCTGGGCCAGTGGGCCAGTGAGGTGAACAAAATACGTGAAGAGCTGGAGGAACAAATACGCATACTGCGAAATGCACTCGAGAACTCCGAGGCGGAGCGCAAAATCTGCGAGGACAAGTGGCAAACCGAGTTCGAGCTGCTCAGAACACACAACAGAGGTGCGACCCACATTGTAATACACACTTGCAAAGCAAATATTGCTTTTAGATATCCTCTAACATTTGGAAGCGTGCACTAAGGGTATGCTTGGAGGGCAGGCAAGATGTGCCTGATTAGATGGAAGGGAAAGTGAAATGTTACTTGACTGCAGTTTAAGTTTATTTGAATGGATAGCTGTCGCCTCTCTATGCGCTTCACATGATCTAGAGTTAGCGGATACTCAGAGAGTTTATAGTACATTTCATCACGACCTTTTCTCTATTGTTCTTTCTCTCCTTGTCCCTCTCCTTGTTAGCTCCTTCTCTACCTATCACTGACTGCAGTTCAAGTTTATTTGAATGAATAGCTGTCGCCTCTCTATGCACTTCTCATGATCTGAAGTCTCTTTGACTCTCTCTCTCTCTCTCTCTCTTTGTTTTTATCTCTCTCTCTCTCCCTCTCTTTCCCTTACTTTCTTTGTCCCTCTCTTCCTCTTTCTCTCTCCCCGCAGTCTCTTTCTCTCTTTGCTTCCCATTGTTTCTATCTCGTTGCTTCCCTCTCCCTCCTTCCTTTATCTTATGCAGGGTATCTCCTAGTCTATAATATTTCATATGACTCTTCATAATTGACAGAGCGCGAGGACACTCTGATGTCGGACTGTGAGTGGCAGATGCGGCAGATGCAGCGTCAGTGGAAGGACAAAATGGACAAATCCAATTACGAACGCAAACAGGCATCGGCCAAGGCCGAGGAACTGGAGCTGGAGCTGCAATCACGTCGCAAGGAGGCGGACAGCTTGCGCATTTGCCAGGCACAGGTGAAGTCGCTGAGCGGTGTCGTCAGCGAGCAGGAGCGCTCCATACAGACGCTCATGGAGCGTATCGACAATCTGAAAGGCGAACTCGAAGTGGCCAACAGCAATCTGGAGACACAGATCGAGGCTGTGCACAAGATTAAGTATCAGTGTGATAAGTAAGTCGAACTCTTGGACCATTGAAGCATTCGCTAATCCATGGACTTTACCTTGCAGCGCCATTTACGATAAGGAGCGTCAAATGATCTATCGCATCGATGAGGTGCGCAACGAAGCTGCCGCCTTTTGGGAGAGTAAACTTTAGTAAGTTCAATGCATGGCTAAACAGCTGACCAGACTGCTCGGACTAACGAGTATTCCAGTGTCAAGGTGGCTTAGCCAAAGCCAAGGCTAAAATGTGTCTATAAAGCAGGCATATCCTTTAGTTGGCTTAGGGGCAAATGCTTATCTATCATTATTATTAATAGAAAAAAGATTTTTTTTTTGCAGTCTGTCTTATACTAGACAATAAACAAATTGTTTAACAATATATAATAATAAATATATATAAAAGATTTAAAGATATATATACTTAGGACTCATAACTAATTGATATTAATTTAATTTTATTTAAAATTTCTATCGATTCTGAGCTACTGCATATCATAAAGTTTCACTTATCTTCCACACTTCTTAGTGAATTAGCATAAATTTCCTTTTATGAATTCAAATTAATAATCGAATATAAAACTTTTTATAAACCTTTTCTCATCTTTCCCAGTAAAACTCTTTTTATACGCATATTTAGGATACTAGAGACTTGTGCTTAGGCATATGCCCACACTTTATTGTCATTGGGATATTATTATATTAGGATATTGTCATTAGAATTTCATAAGGAAAGTTGATCTAGAAGAAAAATTATTTAATAATTTAGCTTTCTTAGCGAAGCCCATGAGCTGAGCACATACTTAGGTGTGCGTGCATGTGTATATATGTGTGTGTGTATGTGTGTGCATGCGTGTATATATATATGGATGTATTCATCAACTTTTCTATTATGTATATATATACAAAGCGTAGAAGCAATTGAATATCAGCAAGATTTACAAGGTTCCAGGTATTTGCAAGTCAAGCACTAACAAGCAGAGCAGTCGTCTTTGATTTACACATATATATTCAAATAACTGTAAAATGTTATATTTTACTCTAATAGATTATCCTTTAATATCATAGATATGCTTCCCATTTCCACTCTTCTCAGTGGAATTTCTCATGAAAATTGTCGCTACTCCAGCAAACCCTAGTCCACTTCCACACTCATTAATAAAATTTGTCATATATATTATATATATATAAAATGAAATAAAGTTTGTGTTTATATCGCTTCAAACTTATGTTTCCAAAACATAAATTTGTGACAGTTTTTCACTCTTTCCAGTGGAATGCCCTATGAATAGCTTTAAGCTCCAATACCATTTGTTATTTTAGTATTTCACCTATATTCCACTACGCTCTCTGGTATATTTTATAATTACTTCAACACAGATTGAATTGAAAAAGTTTAAAAGCTTCCGTTAGCATAGATTTCCACTCGTTTTCCACGACATTTAGAGCTCTTTCACAATGATCTATTCATTCACGTTCTTCAACCACACAGCACAGAGATGACAAGACTGACAAATGAACTGGAATCCGTTTACGTGGACGAGCGACGCGATGCCTTGGACAAGCTGCAGGCGGAGCACATTGAGGAACTGCGCGCGCTGACCAATCGCTACACGGCCAACGAGGAGGAGCTGCGTGCCGAGGTGCCGAAGCAAATTGATTCCAATTGAATCTCAGAGTTCCTAATGTGCCGACCTCCTTGCAGATCGATGAGCTGACCGAGAATCTGGAGCTGAAGAAACAGGACTTTCTGTCGCTGCGCGAGCGCTCGGATAATGCGCTGCTGCAGACGCGCATGCACCTGGATAGAGCCGATCGTGAGTATCAGAATGCCATGTGCCGCGAGGAGGATCGACGCGTGGAGCTGGAGGAGAAGCTGCGCAAGGAGTTCGAAGCGGAAAAGGAGGAAATGGAGGAGAAATTCCGAGAACGTTTGGGTCAAGTCAAGGAGGAGTTTGCCAAAGAGCTGCAGCTCTCCACGCAGGATATGATCGAAGCGCATCGCAAGGAGCTGGGTAAGCAGTGGAAAGCCGCGTCAAGAAGATGCTGCATCAATCATCTGTTTCCACCTTGCAGAGAGCCAAAGGGCCAAGCTGCAGAGCGAACGCGACGAGGCGATACAGGAGTTGGTCGAGCGACATCGCGCCAAAATGGCCGCTGCCGAGGAACGAATCAAGTGAGTAGCTCCAGCTCCAGCTCCAGCTCAATGCCCCAGCTAACTGTAGTAGAGTGCCTCACCCCGTCCGTGCTTCTCTCTATACAGTGCCTGCCAATAGTATTCCAACTGTTTCTGCTTGCCACATTTCTCATTTCATTTGCCTGCCAACAAATTCATGCATTTACTTGTCTCTTGTTTCTCTTTCACACACACACACACACACACACACACAGCTGCATTGGCGTGCTTGCGAAGTGGGCGTGTCCATATGCGCCCAGCATCTATGTGCTATATCTGACGATGTCGCCATTGATTGCCTTAGCATGTTTAGTGTTCAATATAATTGCTGTGCTCTATATCAAATATCGTCATCTCTTGAACAACATTTAAGTATCAAATATATATACATATATATATCTAGCTATATATCATATCGTATCAAAGTCTTGTGCCTGCTCTGCTATGAACAATTTTTGGTCTGTGTCAATGAATATTTAACTTTTACTTTCTCTTTTTCGCTATATACCCAACGCCCTCCCTCTCTCTCTCTCTGTTACACTCTCTCTCTCTCTCTCTCTCTCTCTGCTTCACTCCAATCTAACACTGATAAACGTACAGCGATGTAGAGCTTCGGCACCAGCGCAATCTGAAGGATCTGAAGGCCGCCTACGACGCTGAGAAGGCGGCGCTGGACAAACGCGACATTAGCAACGCCAACGAGATCGAGCAACTGCATCGCAAGTGCCGCTGCCTGACCAATCTGTAAGTGCCCAGTCGAGACTGATTTATAGCTTAACCAGCGCTTAGCCATGTCGTCCTTGTTGTACGCCGCCGCCGCCGTCGATCCGCAGACGCGTTCCACTCTTGACTAATGCTTCCTTTGCAGCTTCGAGGAGATGCGCATGCGCTACGAGCGACGTGATCCGCGCGCCGAGGACCTGCGCGAGATATCGGAGCTGCGCCAGCGCTGTGATAGCCAGGAGCGGGATCTGTTTGTGCTGACGGACAGGCTGCGCGATATGCAGAATCAAATGTCCGAGCAGCAGCAGCAGCAGCAGCAGCAGCAGCAGCGAGGCAATGCGCTCAAGAAGCCGCCATCCAAGACCTTGGCCAGCAGCTGTGATGTCATCTACGAGGAGAACGAGGAGCGTGAATCGCCCGAGCATGAGGTGAACGGCAACGGCGCCGCCTCCTCCTCCTCCAGCCAGGACGACGGCGACGAGGAGGAGCCGGGCGAACAGGAGCCCAGCGATACGGAATCGAATCACACAATCGAAATCAACGGCAAATGCAAAGATCACATCAACGAGGACGACGCCCACATGATCTCCGCTGTCTGAGCGCTTCAGTAGGGGACGAATCTCCTTCGGTTGACCTTGAAACTGACTTGGACTCCGCTGCAACCGAGGCGCCACTCACGCCGAGTTGCCAGTCGCAGCGCCACCTTCACTCACTAACCCCACGCCGATCCCTAGAGCCGCCCCAACTGTCCTCTAATCCTGCACCATTGAGAGTTTCCAAAACAAAAACTAAACTAAATAAAAATTGTAAAAAACAATTTGGTTTAAAAAACCAACTTAAGATAAAAGATTAAAAAAAAAACAACGAAATGAAATAAATGTAAATATTTTTAACAAGTTCAACGAAGTTTTTAATGTTGAAATTTGGAAAATAAAATTAAAAAAAAAAAAATATTTTTTACTTACATTCAAAAGTGAAAAGTTTTGAAAGCCAAATTGAATAATTTGCGAGGCGATAGCGTTTAGACTTCTCGAGTTGTGCCCTAAAGATAGGGCTGATCTTGAGATGATGTTGAGAGATATTTAAAAACCTTTTATGGTTGACCTTGTAATTTGTATGGAAAGTATTGTTTTTTAATTTACATTATCTAACCTTTAGCCTGTTCAGAATCGACGTTAGAACAGTCAATTTAGAATAACTTATAATATAACTTATAATATAATTTAATATAATTTATATGATTTAGAATAACTTCATATATAGAAACATATCCCAGTCGGAATACCATGGCTTGTTCAATTCAATTTTTTCTTTTTGTTAAAAAAATGTTTTGTGTATTTTTCTCTTTACTCATTTTAGTCCAGTCTTTTAATATCTTAAAATTTAATTTTTTTATTCCTATTTCCCAAGAGTCAACATAGCTTTTCGCCTGTTCGTTCGTAAGTCCGTAACAATCTCTTAAGGCACAAAAATTGTGTGTCTGAATAACCTTAAATACCTTAAAAACTCGCTATTTTCATATTTCATATTTCCAAGTATGAATGACCAGATTTAGAAGGTTTCCATCAAAGTCTTCTTGACTTGTTTCCTTTTATTTAGCTTAAGAAGTAATAAATAAGATGATTTTGAAGGTTGCCGAAAATCACAAAAATTGTCTAAAGCTTTCCAAGTTTCTTGTTTTCTAGATTTCTACTGCAAATAACCAAATTTTCTCATCATTTTCTAATCGGCAAATTCCGCCTATATTCAGATTTTATTCAGATTTAATTCAGATTTTATTCAGATTTTATTCAGATTTAATTCAGATTTTATTCAGATTTAATTCAGATTTTATTCAGATTTTATTCAGATTTAATTCAGATTTTATTCAGATTTTATTCAGATTTTATTCAGATTTTATTCAGATTTTATTCAGATTTTATTCAGATTTTATTCAGATTTTATTCAGATTTTATTCAGATTTTATTCAGATTTTATTCAGATTTTATTCAGATTTTATTCAGATTTTATTCAGATTTTATACAGATTTTATTCAGATAATTTAAATTTTAAAAATGTTTTTTATACCCTCTGAAATGAGTATATTAATTTTAAGCAGAGTCCGTGTTGCTGCCCATCCGTCCGTCTGTCCAACTGTTTAACTGTCCGCCTGTCCGGCCATTCGTCCGTACATCCATAGGTCGGTCCGGTTGTCCGTGCTTACGTTCATACGTTTGTCTTTCTGTACGTCTGTCAAAATAAACGCATTTCGCCTCAGTTAAAGCTACAAACTTGAAATTTGTAGCCTATACTTGCTGGCGAGGGTAGTTCTATAAGATTAAGATTTTGCTAATAATTTGGTAAACAGGGAAATAAGAGAGTTACACCTGAGACTCAGCAACTAAGAACGAGTATTCTGCAGTCAGGTTTGTCCGACTTTAATATTCTTATTTTATTACTCTTAAGTTTTCATTCTGGAAGCAGACAACTTTCCGCTTATCCTTCGCTCTTTCTCTGTCCTCATTGAGTTTTCTTTTTATTTAAAATTTTTTTTAATTGATAATTTTTTAAAATTTATTTTTATTCAATAAAAAATATTGTTATTAGTATAAAATAAAAATGAAGTGACTTTTGAGGTGTTTAAAAATTGTATAAAAATTGTATTTGAAGCCATAAAATGTGAATTCGTAACTCTGCCAATGGGGATTAAATTTCCTTGGCTTTAGGCAAAGTCAAGCCTTTTGTGCTTCAGATTAAATGTGAATTGAAGCAATGTGATTAGATTAGATTAGATTTGCTATAGGGTATCTGAGCTTATGCCAATATCTGTGGGCCAATTCGAGAGCGAAGACCAGAGCAGCGGCAGCATCGAAGATGAGCAGCAGCTTCCACACCCAAAGCAGATCGCGATTGCTGAGCGGAGCAGTGGAGAAGTCGGTGGGGGAGTGGGTTCGATTGCTGCGTGGCTGATCGATAACCGAGGCCGTTAGACTGTGCATGGCTTCGGCGATCCAGTGACCGATCAGGCCGACGTCATGGGCGCGATAGATGAACTCATTCAGCGTCGGCCTGAAGATGGAGTTGTGCTGCACGAGGCCCACGATGGGGTAGTCGTAGAAGAGGATCAGCCCGGGCGAATCGCAGAGCGCGTTGCGCTTGTACCTGCTCTGATAGTTGTTCACCAGCTGCCAGAGTCGCGTGAAGGTCTGGTAGGCGTGGTCCGTGTTCAGCGCGAACATCAGGCTGTTGCGCTTCGAGTTCGGCGCGAGGACTTTGTTCGTTATCTGGCCGATCTGGATTTGGTTCACCTGGAGCTCGCTCATGCTGGCGGCGTGCTCGTCGAACAGAATGGGCAGGCCGCTCTGCTGGAGCTGCTCGAAGCTCTGTATGTGCTGGTAGCAGGGCAGCTTGGTCAGCAGGGCGCTCAGGCTGGCGCTGAAGTAGCAGCTGAAGACCAGGCTGAAGACGTACATGATCATGAGGAGCTGCCACATCGAGGGGCTGCGATAGCGACGAATAATGCCGATGGGCAGGCCCAGGGCGACGGCGAACACGCGCAGATTGACCAGCACCGCGAACCAGTTCCAGTTCCAGTTCCAGTTCGAGTTACAGCTACGCCGGCTCGCCAGCTCGAAGAGCTTGTCGAGCAGCGAAAAGATCAGATAGACGCCCAGCATGATCAGGAAGTAGGTGCGCAGACCTCTAAAGACATCGTCCAACTTCATCTCCTTACCGCACGGCACGACTATGAACACCTGGGCAATGTCCAGGTAGGTCGTGTGCTCCGCATCGAAGGTGAGTATCCGGCCGTACATGGGCAGGTCGAGCTGCTTGTGCCTGACCAAGTCCTTGATGTCCACGTCGCTCAGCCAGCAGCTCTCGTTGGGCGGATCCTTGAATCTCAGTTGAATATTATAGATGCGGGCGAACTCCATGATCAGGCGATCCATATAGCCGCCCAGGTAGGTGCTGGCACTACTCGCGTCCGTGGCCAGGAAGCTGCCGGGAATACTGAGACTCGGCTGGGTTATGGCGATCCTTTGCCGAAAGTCACCCCAGATCCGGTTGAAGATCTTAACTCCATCCGAGTCGTTGAGCGGCGCAAAGGTCGCTTCCGGGAACGGCTCCAGGCGATAGGCAGTTACCGCCGGCTCCGCAGGCGCCGAGTGCAGCACCAGCAAATTCATCAAATTGTATTTGTCTGCCTGTTCGGCGATCAGCGACAGTGACTCCTCCAGATCCGTCTCGAGCTGCTTCAGCCAGATGAGAATGCGCATCTCTCGGATGCGCTCCAGGTTCTGCGCCAAGCTCTGCAGCAGGACGACGTCCGTCCGCTGCTGCATGCAGAGCAGCGCGAGCGCCTCGCTGTTGAAGTGCTCGCCCAGCCGCAGCCCGTTGGCCTCGTCCAAGCGCAGCACGGGAATTCCAATTGGATTGAGATCGATGAGGCAGCGGCTGAGGTGCTTGAAGAGCAGCGTCTCGATGGGTCTTTCGCTCTGCATTCTCCTTATGATTTGCTGTATATAGTCGGCATCTGAAGTGTCGTCTGACTCCGATAATCGATAAGTTATCGATTGGCCAGGCAGCAGCAGCAGCAGCAGCAGCGGCAGACCAAGCGCCAACGAGCTGAGGGCCAACAACATTGTGGGCCAAGTGGACAGCACGCACTGAGCGAACGCTCAGCCGCGACATTTTACAGTTTCTATTAATTTATACATTAATCTAATTGGCTTTAATCGAAACTTGGAATCTCGAGAAACTCAGGTGTGTTTAGAAGGTGAAAAAACTGAAGGTTGGAGAACACATACTTAAGGTAACAGGTAAGTAGGTGTATATATATAAATAATTTACTAAAATATATTCATTTTTAATTTTTGTAAATTCATAAAATTCAAAAATTTTAAGTTAAAAAACGAACAAAATTTCTTAATATAAAGTTTCCTTTCTGCTACATTTCTATTTAAAAAATTTTATTTACCTGTCAACAGGTAGTAAAAATCTTCCGCTTTTGAAGAACTGAAATTTAATTTGAATCACCTGTAATGCTGCGTGCAGCGTTTCGTTGAGTATTTCGCTTATTTTATGCTTTCGTTGAGTTTTCTCTTAGTTTCACTTCACAGCGTTTCGCTGTTGCTTAAATGCGCGTCCATGCATAGCTGTTGGTTCTCTTTGCTCTCTTTTGTTTCATTTCGCTCGGTCGCGCTTGGTGTTTATCCCTCGTACGCGTTTCATTGCCTGTTGTCCCATTTCGTTTTCGTTTCGCTTAGTTTGTCTGCGCTTGTTGGGGTTCGTTGCGTTTCATTTTGTATGTTTCGTTGCTGTTGCCGAGCAACTCTTGACGTGAACGGACGTGGTTTTCCTCGCAGCGGCAAACACTGCGAACGCAACGAAAGAACTGACAGGCGACAAGTACAAAACACCGTAACGCAATTGAATAAAACTGTAAAGTGTCAGAACGTTAGCAATATTAGTCCAATACTTTCCCAGAAGCTACGTAAGCTGCGCTTTTTGTTTTTGTTATCGTTATTAAAGTAAAGTGAAAAAGTATCCGGTTATAATTATAAATAAGATTTTATTTTGCACTTTCTTAGTTTTGTGTTACGTTTTAAGTTGAATTTATATAGTTTTTACAATTGTACAAAATGCAATTGAACATAAATAAAAATCATTTACCGGTGCGCGTGTGAGGCATAATAATAATAATAATCATAATCATAATAAAACGGTGAGCAAGAAAGACAATCAAATAATTATAATACGAGTATATGACAAGCTTGAGAGCTTCACGTGCAGCATAAGAAATCGTGATAACATACACACACACATAAACATACATAAACAGCAGCAGCATCAGCACCAGCATCAGCATTTTGTTGTTCTGCACGCTCAATCGCCGTTAACATCGTGTGTGTTCCAGCAGCAGCACCAACAAAAACAAACGAGCAATTTTCGTGCGTCGACGTCGCTGCTGCCGGCTGCTGCAATTATGTGTAGCAGCAGCGACGTTTTAAATAAAAGGTAGACAGCAATAGCAACAACACAACCATAACAGGCAGAAGCTTCCGCTGCCTCAGTCGCCGTCGCCGTCGCTGTCTCTTGCATGCAATTAATGTACACAGTTTTTTTGCATACATAAATTACAACAAAAACAACAACAACAAGCAGCAGCGCTTACAATTTGTGTCTGTTTTGCCGGCAGACGCTGTCGAGTGCCACCGCCCCAAAGGTCGTTGGCGCTAAGGTCACAGTCAACGCAACACAAGCCAGATCTAGAAAAAGAGAGATAAAGAGTACGAATTTCGTGCTGCAAGTGTGACAAACAGGAGCGCAATAACAACAATTGAAGCTTGAACAAAATCGTAAATCTTCAATACGCGTGTGTCTCAAGTATTTAGACAAAATAAAAACGTAAATTCAACAAGCAGCAGCAGCCGCTATCGACGTCAACGCAACTTGCAAATCGCATGGTAAGTGCCGCTACTTTTTCTTTCCCCCTTTTGTCCTTCTGCTTCATTCGCGTTTTCCGTTGATATTGTTGTAAATGATTTGCAGTCACCTTCAGCTCGGGCTACACGGCCTCCTAATGCTGGGCTCTCTGCTTAAACCTTTGCTCTCGCAGTCTCTCACACACGTTCCGTCTCACTCTCATTCCGTGAACAACGCATTTGAGGATATTTCTAATCCGTTTTATTGATTGCAGGCAGCACAGCTGGAGTGCTTTGCCAGCATTGCGTGTACATGTATTGTGAGTCTGTTCTCTCTGTGTGCGCCTGTATATGTGTAGTTGTTATTGTTGGCAATCCGTGTTCTGTTTTTCTTCTACTCTTTTTAATGTTCTTTTTTACTTCTTCTTTGGCCACTACTCATTGGGGGTTGTTGTTGTTGCGGCTATAAAATCTGTGCCTGCTGCGCTGCCGTCTGCCGGCTGCTCAGCTGCTGAGTTGGCTTTTCCTAGTTTTGTCATTTCATTTTTTTATCAGCTGCTGCTGTGCTGCTACGTGGGTGAACGGTAGAAAAAGCGTCCTCCAACTCCTCGTCTCTCATTTGTGTGTTCTTTTTGTTGCTCTCATATTTTTGTCAGGCAAAAAAGAGTGAAGAATAACTTTATCAAAAAATTAAGAGAAATATGCCAAGCAGCTGCCCCCGTTGGGCATAACTCAATAATCACATCAAATGTCTCAGCTGCAGCAGCAGCACCAGCAACAGCAACATCAGTGGCAACACCTTCAGTGTGTCTGTGCCAGAGGTGTGTCCACCTTGGACGTGAATGCGGCTCCTTGTTGCCCAGCTGCGCGCCATTTAAGTCGCTGACAAGTGTTTTGCCGGCATCTCCGGAATGCGTCCGACTCGCAGCAGCAGCGCCGCAAAAACTGGCAGCCAACATTGCTACCAATTATGCGATAAGCAGCCGCTGCCTTCCGACCAGCTCGGCAACGCACTTTAAGCCAACGGCCAACTTTACTTTAAGCCCCAACCAGCAGCACACAAAATTGTGAGTGCAATGAATAAAATACTACACTCAAATATTCATTCTGTGAATAGGCAGCTTGAAACGGCACAGAAATTGCCGAATAACGAATACTCTAACTGAAATACGACTGAGAATAATTTAAAATTAAAATTAAAATATTTGCTGTGCTCTTTAACATGAAAACTAGAATTTTTAGGAAGAAAAAGTTATGCTTAAGTCAGAAACTTTTCTATAATTCTTAGGGCCATTACTCTGAGCTATAATAATATTTGTAGCTAAAATTTCAGTTCATTTTATGAAGAAATAGCAGGAATTTAGACATTTCTTACATATTGTATTTAAAAATATATTATTAATAATAATATTGAAGCATTTCCTTATACAATTATATTAAGAATTAGTGATACTTGGTTTTTATAAATAAGAATAGAAGAGTTAGTGTGGAAATTTCTAAAAATAAGTTAAACCTTATGAGGCTCAAGGTTCAACTCGTTCACAGTGAAAATATATATTTCTTCCTAAAAAAAGTTTAACAGAAATTAAATTTACAATAAAAAATAAAACTTATTTTAAATAAGAAAAACAAGATTAATAAGAAAATTCAATATTAAGTGAAATGAAAACTCAAAATGAAAATTCTAGAAATAAGAATCGGGCCTAACAATCCATTGAATTATTAGATGTTTATCATACACCAAATACTTAATTTATTTGAAAATAAAAAAAATGATATATATTAATAATGTCAAAAAGACTCGAAAATATAGAATTATATGACTATTAGTAATATGCATATATGCCCATTATATAGAGATAAGTTTTAGATTTCTTTGATCTAGACTCTTCTAGAAGATTGTTAAGTTAAGTCCAATAGACGTCTCTTCCATTATATAGCTAATGCTTATAGATGTGCACCATTTATGGCAAATATCTTAATCAAGCAAACGTGTTATTAAAGTAATTGGGCCACATTTGTAAAGAGTATTTATATATATATACGGCAATAATAATGAAAATGCGCCTGGAAAAACTAACAAAAGGCCGCGTGCGCGCGACCATCAAACGAAACGAAAAGCGTGCAGGCTCGACAACAACAACAACAAGAGCAGCAACAGCGGCAGCAACAACTACAACAATAACAAAAGCAAAGGGAATGACCTTATATATTGCAAACTGCAACGCAAACAAAGAGCCGCTAATGGGGCGCGGCGGGGGCGGGCAGGGTTGAGGGCGGGGCGTACACATTGCCTGATGCTGTGCTGACGCAAAGATCAACGCTGCCCAAAAACCGGTCGTCAGGCAGCCTGTCGGTCGGCCTGAGCCTGAGCCTCTGCCTGAGTCGGTGCCTGCGCCTGGGCCTGGGCTACTGCGGGGCAATTGGGCCAAAAGCATAAAAATCAGTCAAGAGTCGCCTCCGCGCGGTGGAACGTTGCGAACATTAAAAGCGACAAACAAACAAACAAACGTACAGGTCCTGCCAGTGAGCAGCAGCAGCACAACAGGACGGTGCGGGGCATGCAACTGCGGCTGGTTGCAAAAGGCGGCACTGGCCCAAGCGTAGCAGCAGCAGAAATCGATTTTCTCGCAAACTTGGCCAGCTATGGCTGTAGCTGGACCTGGGACTGGGACTGGGACTGGGCCTCAGTTAGCCGCAGGGCTTGAAACGCGCGCATTTTTCGGACCCTCGCTGCCGCGCTGCCTCGCTCCGTCTCCCTCTCTTGCTTGGTAAACGGCCCATATTCCGAGTAATGGATACTACGAGCTGAACAGGCGCGCGCTCTCAATGTTGATGATGATGCGACCGCCGGCCGCTTGGTCCAGCAACAGCAACAGCAACATCGGCGGCAGCGGCAGCAAAATTGCAAGTCAAACTGTCGTCGGCTCTGCGTTGTTTAGTTGTTTTATGCCACGTTGTTGCGCCATGGCCATTGGTAATTGCAATTGCCATTTGGACTAAGCCACAGCAACAGTGCCCAGTCGGACAGACAGCCACTTGGCAGATGAGCTTGCTTGTGGAGGGAGTGGAGGTGGGGGGCTAGGAAATCTGCAAATTGCATTCGCTAGTTGCTTCGCAATGGTTTATTTAATTTGTGTTATAAATAAATTTGTTAATGCTATAATTCCGTTGCATTTCAGTCTATCCCATTCTCTACCTTACTCTCTCTTTCTCTCGCTCTCTCTATCGTTGTCTGGGTTTGTGTTTATTCCCTTGGCAGCCGCTGATTTATCACTAATTGAAATCATCTCAACTGGAGCCAAGCCCTAA